AGCGGCCTTGCTGATGGTAAGTGGCAGCTTGTGGGGGTGACTGACTGACTTCTGCAATATCACTTTTTTGGGACCACGCTCCACCTTAACCATCTGATTAATTAAACTTATGGGATAATTATATAATCCTTGATGTGTCGTTCATGAGTATTTAGAAATGTTGCCCCCAGATAAGAAAAGATTAACATAGAGAAAAGAGATAGAAGTTGTATGGTATATATAAGGTTTAGGTATTACCAACATAACCTGAACAGTCTCTCTCTCTCTCTCTCTCTCCACAATAAAGGGAATGAGAGAGAGAGTGAGAGTAAGGGAGAGAAAGATAGTGAAGGTAAAATTCGTGAGAAGATCAGGTGATAAATACTGGTGGGTAAGGGAGAGAAGGAGGGAGGGAGTGAGTGAGTGAAGGAGGAAGGGAGGGAGGGAGAGTTAGTGTTCCGTGACGGGTACTCCCTTCAAGGTCACGCCCCTCCTAATTACCCCTCCACCCTCCCTCCCTCCTCTTCCCCTTTTCCTCCTTCTCTCCCTCTTTTCCTCCTCTCCCTCTTTTTCTCCTTCTTTCCCTCCCTCCTATCCCTCTTTTCCTCCTTCTCTCCCTCTTTTCTTCCTTATCTCCCTCTTTTCCTGCTTCTCTCCCTCTTTCCCTCCTCTCCCTTTTTCCTCCTCTCCCTCTTTTCCTTCTTCTCTCCCTCTTTTCCTCCTTCTCTCCCTCTTTTCCTTCTTCTCTCCCTCTTTTCCTCCTTCTCTCCCTCTTTTCCTCCTTCTCTCCCTCTTTTCCTCCTTCTCTCCCTTTTTTCCTCACCCTCTTCCTCCTTCTCTCTTTTCCCCTGTCTCTCTCTTTTCCTCCCTCTCATACCATCCTTCTCTCCCTCTTTTCTTTGCCTCTCTCTTTTCCTGCTTCCTCTTTCCCCTCCTCTCCTTTTGTCCCTCTCTCCCTCTTTCTCCTTCTCTCCCTCTGCTCCTTCTCCCTCACCTCCTTCTCCCTCCTCCTTCTCTCCTCTTTCTTCCTTATCTCCCTCTTTCTGCTTCTCTCCTCTTCCCTCCTCTCCTTTTCTCTCTCCCTCCTTATCTCTCTCTTGCTATCCTTCTCTCCCTCTTTTCTCCTTCCTTTTCCTCTTCTCTCTTCACTCCTGGATGGGGAAAGTGAGAAACCGGACAGTCTCCCATGGCAGTGTTGGGGAGGAAGTGGGGAGGAATGTAAATCGATGAGGGAGGAGGTGGGGAATGGGGAAGGCCAGTTCTGCTCATCAACATGGCCGCCGTCTCTTATCATAAGCCTCATGTGTGTGAGTAAGCGTGGTGGTGGTGGTGATAGTGGTGGGGAGGTGAGCAGTAATTGCAGAGTGATTAGTGAGTGGGGAGTGATTGTGGTGGTGATGGTGGTGGTGGTGAAATAATCGGTGGTGGCGATGGTAATTGAGTTGAGTGATGATGGTGGGGTGATTATGGTAGTGATAGTGGTGGTGGTGGCGTGGTGATGACGAACAGGAACCACTCCATCCAGTCAAGTGTTGACGTCTTTCTGGTGGTGATGGTGGTAGTAAATAGTGGTGAGAATGAGTGTAGTGTTTGTTATGTTACACACACCACACATACCACCACCACCACTATCACCACCACCACCACCACTATCACCACCACCACTACTGCGTCTCACACAATAATCACCACCATTAAGTCACTCGTGCGGTTTGTAACGCCACAAAGACAGTTTATATAAGGTCTTGTTGTCACGTGTAGAACAAATGTATTAATACATTTTGTTGTTGTTTGTTGACGTTCTGTAATGATCAAATTATCAACTTATTATTACTGTAGTTATTATTATTATTATTATTATTATTATTATTATATTATTATTATTATTATTATTATTATTATTATTATTATTATTATTATTATTATTATTATTATTATATTATTATTATTATTATTATTATTATTATTATTATATTATTATTATTATTATTATTATTATTATTATTATATTATTATTATTATTATTATTATTATTATTATTATTACAATTATTATTATTATTATTATTATTATTATTATTATTGTTATTATTACAATTATTATTATTATTATTATTATAATTATTTTTATTATTATTACTTTATTTATTTTGACTGTTAGGAAAAGGTTTTTTTCCCAAGAATTCTTAATATTTTTGTATCATATTTTGTTAAAAAAATATCTATAATTTCCAGGTAATAAATATTTGTCTTTCGTTTATTTTGTTATCAGTTACTACACGATGGGTGACGGTGTTTGTAAACTTTGACTATACTGTTTTACCTTTTACTTTATACGTTTGTTATTTTTTAATTATTATTTTTTAGGATAGCTGTTTTTTTAGTGTTTTACATATATAATTTTTTTGTTTTTATCGGGATGGCTTTTTTCTCTTAAGTTCAATGTTGAATAGACAGACAGACAGACAGACAGACAGTGGTGTGTGTGTGTGTGTGTGTGGATGGTCCGGCCAGCAGAGACAAGACACGGGGGGAGGGGAGGGGGTTATACACACAGGATGTTGACGTGGTGTTGCTCCTGCATTATTCATGATGGTAAGACAAAGCAACACTCACTTTATATCCTTGTGTTGTGTTTCTTGTGTTGGTGACGCCGACTCCAGGCCAGACAGAGGGTGAGAGGTGGAGGTTTGTGGGAGGGGTGAGTGTTGAAGCTTAGTGAGAGGGGTGGAGCTTAGTGAGGGGGATGAGGGGGTGAATTGAAGCTTAGTAAGAGAGGTTGAGTGGGTGAGTGTTGAAGCTTAGTGAGTTAGTGAGAGATGGAGCTTAGTAATTGGGGTGAGTGTTGAAGCTTAGTGAGGGGGGATAAGGGGGTGAGTGTTGAGGCTTAGTGAGTGTTGAAGCTTAGTGAGGGGGATGAGAAGGTGAGTTGAAGCTTAGTGAGAGGGCAGGTGATGAAGCCACTCAAAAAAGGGCAGGTAAGAGGGGCAAGGCTTAACTCATCATTGCCCCTCTTCTCCCCTCACCTGACCGCCCGGGCTCCTCCGACAGCTGTGTACCCCTGGGCGGCTTCCTGTCACCTGCTGCCTTCCTTTCTTCCTCATTACCTCCCCTCAACACCTGTCCCACCTGTCCCCCCTCACCTCCTGTTCCACCTGGCCCCCCCTCAACACCTGTCAACACCTGTTCCACCTGGCCCCTCCAACACCTGTTCCACCTGGCCCCCTACGCATTTGTTTCCTTCTACACCTTTTTAGCAGCTGATGACAGGGACGTGTTCTCCTATTGGTCAGTAGCCGCTGTCCAATGAGAGCCTTGGAAGACACTTAGGTGTTTTCGGCTGGTTGACTCTAACGACCATTAAGAACTAGCGTTTTTCCTCCTCTCCTCCTCCTCCTACTTCTACCCACCCTCCTCCTGGCCCTCCTCCTTCGCCTCCTCCCCATCTTCCTACTCCTTCTCCTCCTCACCCCCCTCCTCCTGCTCCTCACCGTCCTCCTCCAGGTTGTGGTGGTGGCCAGGCCTCGTCAGCACCTCCCCACTACTACATGATATAACTCCCTCATAACAAACTACTTTTTCCGGTCATTACACCGCGTCGCTTCGTGTCCTCTGCTCCTTCATGAACGACGGCAGGTGAAGACGCCGCCATGTGACTCACCTGTTGGGGGCAGAGGGAGGATATGTACTCGGTGGGTGGTGATGGTAGAGGGAGAGGGGTGTTGACGTGGTGTAGTGGACGTATCGACGTGTAGGAGCGTGTTACATATTCGTGACCCAGTAATCCAGTGATCACCCCAGGTTAAGAGGTCAAACACAGGTAAGTAATGAACGATACATACAACGCACACCTTGGCCAGTGTCCTCAGTAACAGATCACCTCAGCATTACTCACCCCAGCCTTTTATACATGATGATTCACCTAACACACTAACGCTACCTAAAGAGGGGTTACGCTAAATTAGGTTAGGTTAGGTTAGGTTAGGTTAGGTTAGGTTAGGTTAGGTTAGTTTATCTGAAGGTAACATAAACTTGGGTGCATAATCTTCACGTGATATCCATTAACCATGTTATTGGTCATTGTTAGACTCTGACATCTAAATTCTGAAACCACCCCCCCCCCACCCCGGCCTCCTGCACTCCACCCGTCCTTGATAAAACCATATATGCGTGGTTAGTTATGTGCGTGTGTCAGTACGCGCGCCGGACGGGTGGTTGGCCGGGCGAGGTGAGGATGGCGTGAGAGTGGCCCCTACACCGCCCCTCCCTGCTCATACATGGCCATCATTTTAGTGTAAATATAAACGACTGTGTCCTCCCACGTCACTGGTTGGTCAGAAAGAACGTGACGTTACGGATGATCAGCCAACCAGAGGGCAGTATGGAGGATGATTACACGTAGGAAACTGCACTGTCACGCTTGATGGTCCTTCTGTAAAATGTTGTTTTTACTGTCGTCAGCTGTTTTTATGACGTCACGCACAGTTACCCGCGGAACAATGGTCGAGTGAAAGACTTAGAATCACCTCAGGTATATTGGCTAATTGTTTGTTCTAAATATATTATGGCTATGTGTTCATTCTGGTCCATCAGTACACACACACACACACACACACAGCCTTACGTTAACATTACAACATCAGTAATTACAAACTATGGTGACCAGTGTGTGTGTTTCACTTAACTGCCCACAATTACTTTTATTTCATTAAAGTGTGTTATTGTGAGTCATTTATTCTGTTAATGATTTTATAAAGATGCTGACCTTTCCTTTCAGTGTTATAAAGTGTAGTAACTGCCTCGTGTTTGTATGTATCAGTCACCTCACATAAACACTTCATAGACCAAGGTTTAGTCTCACAAGATCCGTCATCAAGGTCTGTTGTCTGCCTTTGGTGATAAGTTTGTCTTCCTTTTTCTAATAAATGTTTTGTCTTCTCTCCTGCAGCTGAGTTTGCCTGCGCCTCCGACCCCGAGTGTCCTGATGATCGGTTCTGCCTGGGTGGTGTGTGTGTGGACCCCTGCCCCATCCTGACGCCGTGCTCGGGGGCGCTCAAGGGCGGCGTGTGCGTCTCCAAGGACCACCGGCCAGTGTGCGAGTGTCCGTCAGGCACCATTGCTAACTCTGACGCCAAGCTCTGTATACCTTACAATGGCACCGAAACAGGTTGGTGAGAACACTGGGGGCACAGAGGGGACTATGGTGAGGGCCACAGAGAGGGTACAGAGAGGGTACAGAGAGGAAACAGAGAGGAAACAGAGAGTGTATGGTGAGGGGTACTTGACGGCAAAGGGATGGAAAATTAAAGAACGCGTAGATTGTTCTTGGGAAAGAAGGAAGGAAAGAAGAAAGAATGTGAGAGTGAGTGATGATGAAAGTTACTGGGGTAGATGGATGACGGCGAGCGTGTGGGTGTACAGTGTTGACAGAGGCAGCTGCCATCACCGACTCCTCACATCATAATATTTACTCATGCGGTTGTTGACAAGACTTAATGGCAACACTGTAGAGCTTGGGCAGGATATGAAGACAAAGAATTAGACAGACAGACAGACAGACAGGCACCTAAAGATTATGTGTAACGAGTCCTTAATGATGGTCAATGTCAAAAGAGAATCCATGAGAGCGTCACAGCGGCCAACAACCTTCCCTAGCTTGACTAATGGATGCTTAATACCTCGACAATTTCCTGGTGAGAGGAAGAGAAGGAGGGTGTGTGTGTGGTGAGAGGATGTGTGTGTGAGTGTGAGTTGAGAGGGAAGGAGGGGGTGTGTGTGTGTGTGTGAGTGGTGAGAGGGAAGGAAGGAGGGTGTGTGTGTGGTGAGAGGATGTGTGTGTGAGTGTGAGTTGAGAGGGAAGGAGGGTGTGTGTGTGAGTGTGAGTTGAGAGAGAGAGAGAGAGAGAGAGAGAGAGAGAGAGAGAGAGAGAGAGGTGCGCCATGACAGGAAGAACAGGTCTTTTGAGTTAGCTGATGGTGATCTGAGTTATGCTGAGCGGAAGTGTGTTGGCGTTAGGGGGAGTCGATCAGTTAACCTTGTACTTAAGAGCCCCGGGATGGGTTCTTCACCTTCAGGAGGAGGATGGCTGAGCGTGGGAGCGTCCATCACCACCACCACACATGTATACAGTCCCCCTTCACTAGTGCGTTTACAGGGGGCCGTCGTCAGGTTCTGTGCAGTGTGGTAGCCCTGTGTTTGTTTACATTTGACAGAAGGAAACTCACAATAATAAACATACTAATGGAATCAGATTAAAACAATATTAAAACAAATATCTCAATGCTGATTTGTGGAATGTTTATATGACAAGCTCCTGTAAACGCACTAGTGAAGGGGACTGTACTTCAAGGTATATTATCCACTAAGTACTAAGGTAATTAATGTGTCAATCACTGCACTACGGCTACCCTTGGCGCTTCGTGTGAGGTGTATGTTAGGTTTTGTTGCTGAAGATATTGATAAAAAAACTCAGTTATATAATGTAATTGTATTCTTGTGGGTATTTCTAGAGATAAGGATAATTATATTGTTTTTGTTCTTGTAGTTGTTGCATGACGGTGTTGATAGTTGTTGCAGTAGCCATGATTTCACACCCCCTCCCACGTGAAGATCAGGCACCCTGGATTATTTCACTTGATGATTTAACACTCTAACACTAACCTAACCTAACATAACACTAACCTAACCTAATCTAACCTAACACTAACCTAACCTAACCTAATCTAACCTAATCCTTCTAGTTAATCTTCAAGTGATCCATTTTTTTTCCAGGGTTCGCTTTGTATTGCCTTAACCCGCACCACTTATGCTTACAGTAAAACCTCTATTTAACGGAGTATATGGCGGGGAAAGTCCGTTATATGGAGGTTTGTTGTCTTGCCTTCTGTTACTCCCCCCGTTACCCTCACCTCTCCCCCACCCTCACCTCCCCCACCTGTCACCCTCACCTCCCCCACCTGTCACCCTCACCTCTCCCCCACCCTCACCTCCCCCACCTGTCACCCTCACCTCTCCCCCACCCTCACCTCCCCCACCTGTCACCCTCACCTCCCCCACCTGTCACCCTACACCTATCATTATCTCAGTTCTCCTCCATTATTCCTCACCCTAACATTTTTTGCTTTCTCTTTTGGTTTAGTTTAGTGTCGTAGTCTGCTGCCTGCTTCCTGTAGCTCCAACACACATTACTCATTAAGTTACACAATTTATATTAAGTACGTCTTGTACACCGCATGTTTATATGTTTTCTGCATGTTGATCGAGTGTGTGAATGTTGACAGTTCGTTGTGGAGGCTACAGACATGCCTTCAAATACACACACACACACACTCCTGCATGGATGAGACGCACCTGTTGATGTAAACAGTAGTAGTGACTTGTGTATCACCTGCGTGTCGCCCCGCCCCGCCCCGCCCCGCCCCGCCCCGCCACCTAACACTGACCACCACAATTGGCATCTCACCTGCACTGTGACAAATTATTAATCAAATAACAGATAAGTATTTCAGAAAAGCATCAGATAATAGGCAGAAAATTCACTCCAAAAATATTAACAACCTTCAACAAATTATAATAACAAATAAAAGAGAAAATGACCATAGATTTAAAACCAAGGCTTGTATGTAGACGAGGGCGAGCTAACAACCCGAGGGAGGCGGGCTGCGGGCGTACAGGACCACGCCCACAGAAAACTAAGGCACGACTAATTGTAGAACTGCTCTTGAGTGTGGAAGGTGTATTGAGAAGAATTAGTAGTGACTGTAGTGTTGATGAGCTTCTAGAGTAGTAGTGCCAGAACCCTCCAGCACATGTGGTTCTGATAACAAGGTAGAAAACCCCACAACAACTGCTGGACGACGACGACCTCACAACAACGACTACTTTACTACATATATGTTTGTGCTTACCGTCTTAACAATGTTGTCGCCTCACGGGTAGTTATAATTAGCTCTTTAATCCCCAGTTACATGGTGCAGTGTGCCAACTCTACGGTGATAATTAACTGTTAACTTAGTGTACTTGCTTCACAAGAGTACACTTTAACATACTAATGATGCCAAGTTCTGCCTAAGTGATCACTCATAGTACTGTAGGTAATTACTTGGGATTGTTACTATGACCCGAGTCACTTCAACAGTGTTTACAAGCGCAGCTGTGCTTTTCTTCAGGATGTCAACACGAGGAGCGTCTCTACGCCGTGGATGAGGTCCGTTACAGCGACAAGTGCCAGGAGCAGTGCCGGTGTGGCTCTGACGGCACCTTCTCGTGTGGTCCCGTCACCTGCCCTCCTGGACTCTTCCTCGCCGGCCAACATTCCCAGCAGGAGATGTGTATTGAGCTGCGGAACCGACCCGAGACGGACGAGTGTTGCGTTGTTGTGGCGTGCGCCAACAGTCTGGCGCGGCCCTCACTACTCACCTCCCCAGTCCTCAGCCGCCCCTCACTCGGTGTCGAGGAACACGATGGCCAACAGCTCCAGGTACTGAGAGGCCGCAAGGCAGGCCCGGGCATTCCCTCACCCATCACCGGGGAGGAGTACCAGAAACAACTCAAAGAATTGGAGGTAGAAGTCAACAAGAAGCACGAAAAGAAGAAAACAACAGACGTTAAGGAATCAGAACAACACAAGCAGGGCGGCAGTGACGCTGTTGCTGTTGTCGGTGATGCCGTCGAGGAAGCTGTAGATGCACCGGTGACGGAGGTGGTGACAGAACTAGGTACACTTGCTGGAGAGGAAGAAGTAACAACCCCGCCATGGGACGTTGAGGGTTCAGTGCAGGAGACCGTGGACGAGGTGACGGAGGCGGAAGGCTTCACGACGTTGATGCCGACCACTCAAGAGGAGGAACAGGTGAGGGACGGGGAAGACGCAGCTTTGGTCTTGGAATATGATGACACTGGCGACCTGGTGCACCGCATCACCGTGCACGAGCGTGTGGAGGTGGTCACCCAACCCGCCACGCTAGAGGAAGAGACATCTACGCCACCAACCCAGCAGGAGGAAGAAACGAGCCTAGCGAGGGAAGGCAAGAAGGCTCCAGGTAAGATGATGGATGAACCAAGCTGTCTGCCAGCGACCAACGCCACCTACACCCAATGACTTGCAAAATAACGATGTTAAATATATTACGACGACTTTACAGAATTATTGGTCCTTATATCACAGCCTCTGAGACACACAGTACAGTACCTTTAGAAACAAGATGATTTAGACGAAGAGTGAATTATCTTGACGACTGGTGAGCACAGTACCAACACCTAGCCATCCTCAGTGAGACGTGATGCACCCCACACAACCTCACCCACCCACCCACAGCCTCACACCTCACCCACCTACTCACACAGCCTCACACTTCACCCACCCACTCACACAGCCTCACACCTCACCCACCCACCCACCTACCCACACAGCCTCACACTTCATCCACACTGCCTCACAACACACCTACCGACATACAACGCACCCACCTACCCACACAGGCTCACAACCCATCCACACAAACTCACAACGCACCCACCAACCCACACAGGCTCACAACCCACCCACAGAAGCTCACAACTCAATCACCCACCCACACAGACTCACAACTCAATGCCAAAAAATTCCGTACAGTTTGACCTTTCTTAATTGATCTGCACAGACAAATGGACGTATGTATTCGACACAGTTTGCCACTGCACATATTTTAAGCACTTCCTGAGTCAAGTTTATCCTTCAGAAACCTATCTTCCAAGTGGCATTCTTATAAAAATAATTTAGTCACCTTACTTATCCTTGTATAACCATTATTCAAATTGCCTTACTAAAAACTGTATATATTTATCTCTGCCTCTCATTAAGGAAGTTACTCCATGATTCAACTTAGCATAATTTAATCTCTTGTGTTCTCGCCGCCACAGACGATGCCAACGTTACCCAAGACGAGCCCACCGATACTGAGTCCATTAAGGTATTACCATCTCTCTTATCGTCAGTGTTTGTGTTGACAGTTTGGTCACTGGGCCCTGCAGTGTGAATTATATTGTTATTGTGCCCCGTAGTATGCATAATAGGTGTTTATTTTGATTAGGCTCATTAGTGTGCATAATGTGCTTTTCCCCCTTTAGTATGCATACTAGGTATTTATTTTGATAGACCCTGACTGTCAATTATCTTCAGCTGTTGGAGGCCAAAGGAGGGAGTGGAGCCCTGAAGGTGGTGGAGGTGACCCACAACTCGTCCACCGTGGTGCTCCCCTCCAGTAAGGGCGGCGAGGTGTACTACAAGGTGAGTCTCTCTCTCTCTCTTCATACTTGATTTAAAAAAGGTCTGCTGTTCCATATAATACCGTCTGTTTTCAATTAGTTTCGTGGTATTAAGAAGTTACTGACGTTTTGGGTATTGTAGAATAAATATATAAGATTACTGTGCGTGAATATTGAATAAAGATAATGTAATAATGGCAGAATGTCCTCTACTACCACACCACTATTACTACAGTTACAACCACTAATAATAATAATGATATGGGATGCGATAAATTTCTAAATAATAAGGATAATTAACATTGATGTAACTCTTTTGTCAAATAAGTTTGTATTAACTTACACATGGACCTCCATTTTTTATTGAAACTGTGAAATGTGAAAGCGTATTTGTTTTGGTTTTCCCAGGCGGCGGAGGGGAACGAGTGGTTGCGGGTGATGGTGGAGAGCGGGCAGGACTCTCTGGTGCTCAAGGGCCTCCACCCCAGCACCCAGTACACCCTCAAGTGGTCAGGCGTGTCAGGAGGGTCTGCTAAGATCACCATCGATACTCAGGGTAAGTCAACTCCACTGACTGACTCCGTCCTTGTATTCAACTAAATTTCAACAGTTTATTTCATATTAAAGGAAACGGGATTTTGGTGCTGTCACTAGGTATCCCTGTGCAATATTACCAGAAACATCTACCAGGTGTCTCAAGTGCTTTTGAATATATAATATAAAGGGGCTTACGCCTTCCTTGTATTCGTTTTGTTCGGGATTCACCTGTTCTAATACTCGATCCGGATTCATAGAGATTCGTTCGTTTTTTCTTAAACAACGCAGCTGGTTTTGATAGTCTCTCAGCAATTTCTATGACATTTTTGTACCGCAGAATAAATTAGGCAAGTTTGGCAGTAACATTATGTTGTACAGAACAGTTCAGTTCAGCTTTATTCAGTAAAATCGCAATTTAAGTTTACATTGAATGAATGTGTATAGACAGGCCAGGTACACACACTATACAGTCAATGCTGGTAACCAAACGTTCCCTAGAGAATACAGTTATACAGACTGTGCAGTTACACAATGTATCTAGACAGTGCAGTTATACAAACAATGTACAATACCTAGACAATGCAGGTATGCAAACATTGATAAACAGTAAGGCGATTTAACCAAGGATAGCCAACAAAGCCACCAGATGCCGGATTCTAGAAAATAATGATAATGATATTTAATCCGCATTTATTAATTATGAACGAGACAGAAAAGTCGTTCGTTGTTGACGTTGAGGTGGAAGGCTTCATATCAAGGCCCTCGTGTACTGAGAAGTCACATTCCCTGGCCGGATTGTCCACTTTGGAGATGGTAAATTGGCCACTTAGGTTTTTGTGATTTTGAAATATATTTAACTTGATGAAAACAAAACAAAATAAAAACAAATAAATGTTAATTGGACACTCTTTAAGTGTTGTAATTGACAGGTGTATTGTGACCGTGGGTAGTGTCAGCGCCAACTACTGTACCTCCACATACAGGGTGGCGCATAAGTCCACTTAAATTTAGGCAAGGGACCAGGAACTTGTGAGTGACATTCCCGAGACTGCAGTAGTAAATTTTGATCTTTGATTCAGGTTGCTGATAGTTCCCAGTGTCAGCTCTTTCTGTAAACAGTTTTTGTAGAATTGAATTGTGTAGAACATCGTATATTCAAACGTGACACAAGATACTGTTACAATATGCTATTGTAATGTGCTACATTATTAGAAAGTGAATGTTGAAAGGTGTATACTGTGTTAATTTTTTAAAGATGTTAAGCCAAAGTATATGTTTTGTTTACTGACTGCTGGAGGACAGGCTACGATCAACAACAATAAACCTGGAGCCTCGTGCATCATCTCTCTTTCTTAACCTCTACAATAAACTAGAAACGCGAAGTGAAACAGATACAAAATGACCCCCAAAAAAAAAATAGGAGACAATAATGGCGTATGTGGTCATAGTGTCAAGGCTTGAAAGGTGAGGGTGGGAATATGGCGGCATCATTTCCTGTAGCATCTTCATACCAACGACGATGGTAACGACGTCACAGCTCACAAGGTCGTCACTAGACCGTGAAATTACACCTGCCTGTCCGGGCCTGGAGTCTCAAACATTCAAACCTTCCATACGTTAATATTCCACTAGCTGGTCATGTGAAAACGAATCTAAGTATAACGGAGCTACCCGGTACGAAAATAAAATTGTCGTAATTTTACCAACACTATCGTTTTTAGCTGCGCTCTCTTGTATGAAGTTGCACACACACACACACACACACACAAAATACTTACCAACGAAATGATACGAATCTTGTGAGGTGATCGGCCGTGATCTGCAGAGGATGTCCCCGGTATGTGGGTGTTGTGTTGTAACTTATTAGGTCATCTGTCACTTTGCCTGTTGGTCGTCCGTCTCTGAGTGATACCTTTGTCGTGTACAAGTTGTTCGCCTCACTCAGGATAAAGCTGGGCTTCTGTAGGAGTGAAATGTATCAGACGGGAAGACAAACTGATTATTATCACAAATTCTGACTTCCTGTTTTATATTGGAGACTCTGACCCAGTTGTCACTCAGGTCCGGAACCTCCCAAAGTGTGTAGTCAACGTCACGCACAGCTTAAGCTAGTGCGTCAGGTTTGTGATACTGTATCTCTACGTTATATCAGTCCCCACTTATCTAACTAAATTAAACTTGGTGTGTTACAGAGGTTTGCCGTGTGGGCAACGAGACCTACGCCATCGGGCACAATTGGGCTCAGGGGTGCCAAGAGCGGTGCTCCTGTAGACCAGGAGGAGTCGTCGACTGCCAGCCTAGGTGCATCTTCGCTGCCGGCGACATCACGGTGAGTATCTGTACACGGGTGAGGAACCTGAGCTTCTGAGGAAATTTGGGCAGGTTTCTTTGGAGCTTCTTTAATAGTCCTGAAGTTTGTTTCATGTACAGTACAGTACACACATGGTCGATTTTTATAATATCTGACAAATGTTTCTTATAACTTCAGAAAAGCTTCCTGGGTCAAAATTAAATTTAGTTTTCATTTTTTTTATCACAAATATCCAGGACTGGTCGCATTTCTAGACCAACGTGCTACTTGTTATCTTCCACAGTTATGGACTATATTCAACTGGACCTTTTTTACAGTATGTGGGCAAAATTTCCCTCTTCCATGGCACTCTTAGTTTAATGCCCAAATTTTGGTCACAATATTTCTTATGTTTATACAATGAAGGGTGAGTGAAGTAGTACTTTTAGACAAAAGTGTAGTCTTCATACTGTAGAGGGTGTAGGTGCAGGGTGTAGTGGGGCAGGTGTGGGGTGTAGGGCAGGTGTGGGGTGTAGGTGGCAAGTGTGGGGTGTAGTGGGGCGGGTGTGGGGTGTAGTGGGGCAGGTGTAGGGAGGCAGGTGGCAAGTGTGGGGTGTAGTGGGGGGCAAGTGTGGTGGAGGTGTGGGGTGTGTGGGGGCAGTGTGGGGTGTGTGGGCAGGTGTGGGGTGGGCAAGTGTGGGGTGTAGGTGGGTGTGGGGTGTAGGTGGCAAGTGTGGGGTGTGGTGTGTGGGGCGCAAGTGTGGGGTGTAGGTGGCAAGGTGTGGGGTGTAGTGGGGTGTAGGTGGCAAGTGTGTGGTGTAGGGGCAGAGGTGTGTGGGCAGCTGTAGGTGGCAAGTGTGGGGTGGTGCAGTGGGGCAGGTGTGGGTGTGGCAAGTGTGAGGTGGGGCAGATGTGGGGTGGTGGGCAGGAGTGCAGGGCAGGGGTGGGGCAGTGTGGGGGGTGTGGGGTGGCAGTGTGGGGTGCAGTGGGGCAGGTGTGGGGTGTAGTGGGGCAGGTGTGGGGTGTACCTGAGTCTCATGATGTACAGTACCCAAGGCTTAGTATTCAGGTCGTCAAGCTTATGGTAGCCACTGTCTGTGCAGCTGGAGTGTTACATAAACTTTAACTGGTGTTGTGTGTCGTTGCAGAACCCACAGTGTGAGGAGCGCCCCGCCCCCGAGGACCCCGAGTGTTGTGTTGTTTACGACTGCAAGTCTGATGAGTCAGGTGAGTCTTTCCGCAACTTCTGTAAATTATGTCAATCACTCAGTTAAGTCATGCAAAGACTACTGGTGAGTCACATGATGACCAAGCCAGGTAGATGTATGCTCACATATCTAGAAAAACAGAGAAAAAATGTCCAAACTTTTGAGAATCGGAAACCTGGTGGTGATATTTTTTTCTAATTTCTTTGTGTGTCTTAAATTAAGTTAGGTTGGGTTAGCTTAAGTTAAGTTGGACTGGGTTAGTTGTTGGTGGTGGGAGAGAGTGAGAGTGTTCTTGGTGGTGGGAGAGGGGGGTGAAGGTGTGTGGTGGGAAGGGGCAGGTAGAATGGTTAGGGTCAAGGTCAACAGCCACCTCACCACACCACCTGTAGCAGCCCTCAACCTATAATAATATACTCTACACTCAGTTTTGTTGAGTACTGCACCAATGACAATGCCATATCTTGGATACTTAGATATTAATTGAGGTGATAAAGAGATAGAAATATACCACTGAATGAAATGTAGGAAAATAAGAGCTAACACGGAGTGACGTTAAGTTAGGACAGCTAGACAGATGGATATAATGTTTTGGAGACGAAAAGTTATGTAGATGTGAGAGACAGGGATTCTGGAGGAGGAAGAGGAGTGAATGGCATAATGAAAACAAATAATGGAAAGGGAATGATTGTAAGTGTAAAAGGAAATATAAAGGTAAAATATAAATCTGCAAAGACATGTTAATTAAAGAAGTACTGTACAGGTATACGTAGAAGCAAAATTGAATGAAAGAAAATTATCTCGATTTGATGGAAAGATAATCAAAAGTATAATAGAAGAAGTAGAATTACTACAACTGAACAGGAAAACAGGTTGGTAAGGAGGTAGAAAGTGAAAGTTGAATCCCATAGGCTTGACAACTTGTTCAGGTTACTGTGAAGCTTTTAGTATCCAAGGGGACTGTTTGGCTGTCACTGTGATTGGGAACCTTCACTTACCCAGTTGTAAAGTTAGGTACTGTACTAATTCACAGCAGGGTGGACTAGGGGTGCCTGGACATCAACAAGCGACCCGTAGGACAGGATGCAACTGCTCTATCTGCACTATCAGTAGAGAATACAATACAATACAGTATAGCAAAAATGTGGCATAAAAAAAATGCAGTTGCCTAATAAAAGAGAAAAAAAGATAAGAGGATAATAATGAAATAAATTACTTGTATATATTTAGAAGTAATGAATTAAAGCACCAAACAAAAATGTGGGGTAGAGAGATGAGGACAGGGCCACTGATGTAGGCGGAAGCAGGGAGGCAAAAGGAGCTGTACAAGGTGGGTGGGGTGGGTTTAGGGTTCAAGGTTCACAGTTTCAGGAGTTGACTGAGGCATAGTAGTTAAAAGAGGATGAAGCATCTCTATTAGTACAGTACGTGGAATACTGTAATGAATAGATATATACTACACATGTTAAACAGTACTCTTGAACAGTAGACAGTTTAGTGAGCCTTTCCCGCCTATGATCCATCTGTGTAAATGTACTGTACTGTATACGTACTGGTATACATATACAGAACTGTACTCTTGCAGTACTATATATATATAATATAAATTGCAGTACTTAATTTTGCAGGTTTGGCACAACACTGTACTGTATCTCAACCAGGTTTTTACTAATGAAACTTTATTCCTGCAGATATCACAGGCACAGTTGCATCAGGTGCTCAGGAAAATGCCGGCTTACCCAAGCTCTTGGTCACTGCGAAAACACACAACTCCGTCACTCTTGCTTGGGATGATTTTAGGTAGGTTAAAATGTTTTGCCAATACTGTAGTTATTTGTTTCCCTGTCTTGTGCTTACTTGTGACACAACTGTCATGTTGTTTTTCATCGTTTTTACTGTCATCTACACTTTTAACTATTACAGTATTGGTGCCTCCAGGTTTGTAGGAGTTATCATCTGTCTCTACAATAACAGAGACTCTTGTGGTCACTGTCTTCTAAGTGGATGTTGTACAGTGTATATCATTTCATCAATACTTTCTTCTTTCATAGGTTACTAATGTTTTTGAGTTAAACAAATACTTGAAGTATCATAAAACACACACTAGCACTTTGCTGTATAATATAAGAGAAATGCCATCATGTACCCTTAACCTCCATCATCATGCTTAATATTAAAAACTGGTCCCAAGGAGAAGATATTGTAATTGACATGAGGCTCAAGGGAAGTTTTACTGTACACATCATCACAAAACAGTAATTTTTTGGCTCTTTTATTAGTTCATATCAAAGGGTTATCCACTATCACAAGAAATGTGTCACTATCTTACCAATTGTATCACCATTCATTACACAACTTACTGAATAAATAGTGTTCATTTCTTTTCATGTATATGTATCTTTTAGGTTTACCATTAAGTCAGTCTTCTAATAGATTATCAAGGACAGAATGTTGGTGCTTCAGCTGCTTAGAAATTATTTAAGATGTGCAAAAATTGAAGTAAAAAAAAGTCATAAACCTCAATTTATTTATTTTTTATATTTTTGATGCAGAGCGAGGACATATAAGGGTGGGTATGTGGCTGAATACCGTGAGGAACCTGCAGACCCAGCAACAGGTATTGTGGTAGAGCAGCCGTGGATGAGGAAGGAAGTCCCTCCAGGAGAACTCCCTCCCAAACTTACTGTGGAGGGACTCAGACCCAACACCTTGTATGAGGTAATTGCTGTGACAGTGATATACCCCACATCCCCCATCCAGTAAAATAAGAAACTATACTATATGGTCATGTAAAATCTTAGTTCCCCACTTTAATGTGTTTTGAGAAAGTAAAAATATGGTAGTGTATATTAGATAAGCATTTTTTCCCTTTGTAATCTGTGCTAGAAACCCAATAGTACAGTTCTGTATACGACTACAGAATTGTTTGTGATATTTTTGGACTTTTCTTTGGTCATGGAAACATTAAATTCCTTGCAGTCATAATTTCACTCTTCTTGAAAGTAAAATCTTTTACCTGACCTTAAATTTTAATGATGCCATAGTATTGATTATAATTACTTAATTACTGTATAAACATTTCTAGTGCAAAGATTGATTACCCTAGTAAGAATTGACAGAAATACTGAATTACATTAATTATACAACTTCTAGTATAATTTTCTCGTCCTTCTGCACAGGTTCGTGTTTCCATCTATGATGATGTGGAAGAAGGACGCTTAGGAGAGGCCACTGAGACCATCAATGTCAAGACAGAAGGTAATTTCATTGGTTTGAAGATAATTGAAAGAAGAGTCAAAACAAAGGGGAAATTATAAGGACTTCTAAGTTGCAATAATAAGCGAAAGAATGAACAGTACACTGTATCAGGACAGAGTGAGGAATATTGAATAAAATGCAGGACATAATATATTCTGTAATGCTCTTTGAAGAGGACGACTGTGTTGTTAGTTTTGACTTTATATTTTTGTTTAGTATATATATATATATATATATATATATATATATATATATATATATATATATATATATATATATATATATATATATATATATATATATATATATATATATATATATATATATATATATATACAGTATATAATTTTCACTTTCTACAGTAAACTTATTTTCCTAATATCTAATATATTTTTGCAGCTGGATGTGTGTATGGCAACTCCTCTCATTCTGTTGGGGAATTTTATAATGGATGTGAAGAAAGATGCATGTGTGTTGCTACAGGCGACGTTCAGTGCTTTGAGCGCTGCACTTTACCATATTTTAGGTGAGTCTTGGCTTACTTGTTCGGTTATTTTCACTCTGCTTAGACTCATGTACAGTATTAGTTAACTTATTTAGTACTGTATCATCCACTTTGTAGTCCTAGTTAATATGTAGTTGTGCAGTACAGTTGTTGATATAAGGTACGGCTGCAAAAATGGATGTTCCTAGATAATTGAACTCTCTTAAAGTACATAGTGAAAAAATCTTAGTCATAATTATTGTTCATACCATGTTAGAAAATCCTAGAATGTTACACTGAAGTACAAGTTGTGTGGGTTGTTTATTGTTACAGGTACAGCTACATTCCAGACTATGCAGTACAGTACAACTTTTTATTGTATAATTTCAGGGCTGGTTCATTCAGAGGAGATCCTTTGTGCAGTGAGCACCCCGATGAAAGGGATGAATGTTGCGTCACTGTTCGTTGTGCCAGTGATAGAAGAGAAGGTGAGGTTGACTTCTGCTCTTGAGTTATATATGGTACTGGTAATGATTATGTAGTAAAAAATTATATAAAAGCAATTACAGAACTAGATAAAAAGATGTCATACTGTCATACAAATTTACATTGATTCAGCATGTATATAGACAGTGCACTTACTGTATCTGTATTATATGTACACTCTCACCAAAAACTTCTTGAACTCTATAAGCACTATGCAATCTGTAAAAAGGAACAAAGAATCTGAAACCATTCCGAGATGACAAGCCCCATTCTGCCCATTCTCACATCCATCGTGGCCAGGTGTTTGAGATGTTTTTGTTGAGAGTGTGCATAGCCAGTGTAGATATACAAATAATGTACAGTAACTAAAACAACTATCTGTGCATACTTTGTGGGAAACAATATGAGACCATGGATGATTTATTTTGGTATATGAAGGCTGTCACTAGTCACACGTAAAATTTTGGAGCATATCGACCCCCACCTGCACAGATAGTTGTTTTAGCTACTGTACATAGATGGTTTTGTTACGAGTATACAAACAGTAGTAAATAATATTGTGTGTGAATTATGGCTATAGCAAAATTATCAGTGCAAGTCATTACCTCGAAATAAAGAACACCCCATTGAAATTTATACACATTGAAGCCTCGATCCTACTCTACTAGTGAGCACAATATTAGGTTCTGTCTGCTTAAACAATCATTCAGAATGTGCAGTAGAAGAAAGTTGATAATGAGTATAAACAAAAGTAAAGTGATGAAAATTAGTAGCGAAGGGAGATAGAGAGAAATCAATGCAATATTGAATAGAGATAGAGTGAAGGAAGTGGATGTGTCACCAAGTGAAATTATGAGTACAGGTAGTTAAACTAGAGTAGTTGAGAAATGTATCAAGAGGGAGAGAGAGGGGTGTCAAAAGGATGCAAAATTGAGGACTTTAAGGAAAATAGTTGAACTGACATTACAGTATATGGGTATGGAGGATGGACTGTGAGGGAAGAGGAAGGAATATACAGTACTACCAGTAACAGAAATGATTTGCTTGAGAGCAACACTTGGGGTACAAAGGGTGTCAAGGAAAGGAAATGCATAAATAAAAAGATATGGAAGTGAAAGAAGTGTCAAGCAGAGAGCAGAACGTGTTCTGTTCTGATAAATAGATGTCTTGAGAGACTAGAAGGTAAAGGATTGGATGAACAAGAAGGAAGAGGAAGGATGGGGTGAAGGACACACTAGAAGTGTAAAGATGGACTTCTAGGAAGCAGTAATGTACTTGAATGAAAGGAGAGCATGGTGTTGAGTAATTATCAGGAAAGTACATGGTGCTAGCTTGTTTGAGTTGACAAGATAAAACCAAATGTAAGGCCTTGTTGTAGAAGGGGAAGTACTGTACCATAGCAGAACAAGTCTCTGACAGAAGTGAGAATGAATGAATGACAATGAATGTAGGGTAAAAATTATTAACAGTATTTGTATTTATTTCAGCTCACCCTACATTGTGGGAAAAGTTTTCAAACAGTAAAAAGTAAAACTTTTTTGAACTCCTATATATCAATACAGTACTGCTTTGTATACTTCCCTTTGCTCCTTATCTTTAAGTCAAAATAGGTAACATTCAAAATTTATTTATGGTAAATATCTTTGAATTCCCTCTGATTTATTTCTTGTCTTTTCATTCTCCACAGCCTATAATCAGTGCACAAATGTTGTTTGTGGTCAAAATGCTGAGTGCATCTCTGGTACTATGGCCTCAAAGGACCTTAGGCTTAGTGATATTGATAGTGACCTGACACTTGGATACTGCCGTTGTCTTAAAGGATTCACTGGTGATGCATCAGACCTAGATTCTGGATGTGTGCCTGGTAAGTTTATTGTTCATCATTCTTGTTGGTGGTATAGCAGTAATGTGCTTATCTCTCACTATCATGTCCTGGGTTCAAGTCCTGTCCCAAGGCACATGTGGGAAGGGTGTTATCTAGTGTGACCCTTACTACCAAACATTGCAGGTTTCCTCCAGTATTATCACCTGATAGTAAAGTTCATAACAAAGTAACAAAGAATTAACCAACTGCCCGAATAGCTAGTAAGGTTTAAATTAATTGTTAAACTGTATTAGAAATTTCCTACATTTGTATACAGTAGTCTTAAACTTTGAATACTGTATATGCTGAACATTTTATTGAATTTCAAGAATTTCAAGCTTATGGTATGATACACGGTGTAAGAGTTATCATCCATAGTGTGTTACATATACCTGTACAGTAACTCTACTTGCAAAATATAAAATTCTTAGGATTAGTCATATCCATTATCCTCAGTTTTTATGGCATTTGTTTGATGATAGGATCTGAGAGATACAGTACTGTACTCTATTGCTTGAATCAATACCTTGAGTTAAAAGTGAAATGTTTTTTCATAATCTTTTTAAAGCTGTGAAGAAAAGCAAATTTTGGGCATTACTTAAAATCTTCATCTTTTACTCCTATTCAAACAGACCCGTCTGCTGGACACAAAGAAGGAAGTTGCACCTTCAAGAACAGCACCTACCGTTCAGGTGATGTCTTCCACGATGAATGTGACTACCGCTGTTCTTGCAGCAACAACAGTGAGATAGAGTGTGAGGTAAGGAAAGGGTATATGTTTAAGGCAGTGCTGTACACTCTAGATAGATTATGTATATGTATTATGTAGGCTGGGAGGTGCAATAGCCAATCATAGCGTGTGAGCCTACAGCCTAAGTTACTCAAGCATCTCGCCCACCCACTTGCCTGGCACATGTCCCTGCATCGGATCATGGTGCAATCTCTTGGAAATTCATTAAAATACCTAGAACTGAGAGATTTTCTCAGAATTTTCTGGAAATGCGCATGATGCAATATCACGGAAATTTGTTTGAATACCCAGAATGGAAATATTTTTCCTGGAATTCCTCTGAATGTCCCCCCAAAAAAAAATCCAGCTAATGGAGAGTTCTGGGATCGACGATTCCAACTCACAGAGAGATTACTTACAGTGTACAGTAACTGTAATTAATAACAATGTACTGGAGGTAGAATCAAGACTTAGAAACACATTTAAAACTGATGTTAATTTTTGTAGCACAACAAATGCCATTTGAAATTCACCAAACTCAAGAATAGACAGGAAAATATATTATGTGTTTCAAGTGTTTCCCTCAGTAATGCTGGGTTCAGCAAATAGAAACAAACTACAGTACAGGACATGTACAGTAAACTGAAAAGCTGCTCATCCCTTTTGTTCAATCCAGAATGCGACGTCTAGCTTTATACCTAGGTATGTTAATGCCTAGCAATAACCCGCCAGGCCAACATACAGGCAATTAAAACATCTAATAATTACTTAATATGTAATATTAGGAGGACACGTCGCTACCTGGCATTTAATTATACAATTAAAAAATAAAGGATAACTTTTGGGAAGTTAAAGAAATTCTAATATTTACTGGTACGTAGTAAGACTTCCTAAATAAACCTTTTAAGTTAGTTGTGGAAGAGAAACACAATAAAGGAATATATCTGTAACAGCATTAAGAGAGAGTATCTATCTTAGAAGATAGAAACTAGAACATGCAACTTTTGTTTGTGTACATGTATACACAGCACCTGTTTGGGAAAGTGTCTGGCTGTCCACTCACAAATTTGTATTTATGTATCCACATGTCTTTATGTGTGAGGGAAGGAGAGTTATTGAGAGAAATCTTGTTTGTGAAGGCAGAGAACTAATACCACACAAACATATTATAGAGATTTGTAAGATGGCAGAAGCATTAATAAGTGTAAGCTTCACAAAACCCTTTCTGAAAACTTACAAAATCCTCTGATAACATTCAAACTTATTGTCACAGACTTGTAGCTTTTGTTAAATGTAATTTCTTTTTGCAGCCACGATGTGAGTTTCCACACGAGGATGGCTCACAGACGGAGCCTGGATGTGAGTATATTCCAGACCCCAAGGACCACTGCTGTAAGTTGAGAGTTTGTAATTCAACTTCAGAAGCTGCAACTGATGCTGCTCGGGCCCCATCTCTTCCTTCTGATGGCTGTACAGAAGGCAACATCACTTATGCCAGGGATGAGAAATTCTACAATGGTTGTGAGACTTCATGCACATGCCTGGGCTTTGGTGATGTCTCATGCACCCCTAGGTTTGTTGACCAGCTTCATTTAAACCTGTATTTACAGTATACATAGTACTTTACTAAGAAATATTTAATTTTATAGTTTTTTTAACAGAGGCAGGGTGATACTTACAGAATCCTTTGTGAAGTATTTAATTCAACACAGGGATTGAAAATTCCACATTGGCTTGTATTTATGCGTGAGATGCCAGTAAAAGCAAGAGACTCTGCCTTATGTACTCATTCACCTGGGTAAATTTACTTGTGCACTGTATTGAAAATATATGCAAGTGACTTCTAAGTCTTTTCATAGTTTTGAATCATTTTACAAAAACAAATTTCTGGTAGTGATTCCATGATGGTGTAATAAGATATTAATAGTTATAAGATTGCCTAGCTATAGGCAGGTAAGGGGTGACTTAATAGAAGTTTATAAACACCTCAGAGGACATTACTCAGTCAAGTGTTCATACCAGGATGCCCGCCCCACTAGGGGTTGCACCTTAAGGTTGAAGAAACCACAAGTTCAGAAAATTGTCAGGGCAAACCTTTTTGGAGTGAGTTGTGAACTCTTGGAACAATGTGTCAGAGAATGTTGTGATAGCACCGAGTGTGAGTTCTTTCAAGACCAGACTTGACCAACATTAGCACAGTTACATTCTGGAGCTAGTTCTTACTAGCTCCAGTGCATAACAGAGACGTGACTGACCAGCCAACCAACTATGAGTCGATCAGTGGTGAAAAGGATGAAAATAATGTAACAAACTCTAAAATAAAAAAGTTAAATACTGTATCCTTCCCTAATTTAGAAAGGCACACAATTTAAAGCCATTGTAGACTTAGAATTATTCTTTAACTCTATTTATTTAATTCTTGAAGCTGTTTATATCTTCTTCGTAATTCTAATTTGGTATAAATTTCTTTAGATGTCCACCCTTGAAGGTTGTGTCTGCGACACCCAAACGCTGTGATACTTTGCCTGACCCTCTAGATACCTGCTGTTCTATCACTGTGTGTGATGCAGAAACCCCTGATGTCATGAAGGCCAACATCACAGGTAAACACACCAGACTTAATTACTCCTGGATAAAATGTGTGTGTGTGCAAGTCCATGCCTGCAGATCTTCTTTACAAAGTAACTCATATAACATTATAAGTTGCAGTACCTTATGACAGTACAGTACTTTTGTTTTTTTTTGGTTATTTATGTACACACACATGACAGTTTATCTCCTGGCAGGTATATCTTGACACTTAACCCTTTCACTGCTTCATGATGTTCTAAGTTTGGTTCCCAATAAGTGTCATTTCTCCTCGAGTAGTGAAAGTGTTCATATACCCTTTTAATTATTTTTGTGTTAATATGAGACCATAAGGCTTCCATACCTGATACAAAATTTCTTTGAAAACATTATTGGGTATTGAACATTTATGTTTTATTGTAAATTAATGTGAAAAAATTGACGTTTTGTAATTGTGGAGTTACTAAAGTATATTGACCAAAGTAATTCAGATGGAGCAACCTGCAAGAGATGGATGCTTGTTTAAGATATTAATTTATGTTTGTGAAAAGTAGATAAACATTAATAGATTTGAAGCAATCTTTGATTTAGAATTTGATTTTATATTTTTTTATAGAATTAGAAAAAAAGATGATGAAGATGAACATGACTGATATGGAAAAAGAAATGAAGATGAAAGAAATGATGATGAATATGACAGGAGCAGAGAAAGAGGCTCTGATGAATATAAGCAAGATAGAGAGAATACCAAATGATATGGATGCAATGATGCCTGAAGAAGATATTGCAACCACTGTAATGCCTGAAAAAGAAATGCTGATACACCTCAATGAACACACCCATGATGATGGCACAACACACAGCCACCCTCATGAACATGGCATGGATGAAACTCTCAATCACACTGATCATGATGGTCAGGCACATGACCATGATAAAAATGGTCAGCAAGCTCACAATAATCATGATATTTTCACTGGAATACACAACCATACTCATACCCATGAAAATGGTGTAACACATACTCATCCTCATGAGCACAACATGGACAATATGCATGATCATGAACACAATATGAATGACACCCACACCCATGAAGATGGTACGACACACAGCCACCCTCATGACCATGCCATGGATCACACTCATGATAATGACACCCACACCCATGAAGATGGTACGACACACAGCCACCCTCATGACCGTACCATGGATCACACTCATGACAATGACACCCACACCCATGAAGATGGTACGACACACAGCCACCCTCATGACCATACCATGGATCACACTCATGACAATGACACCCACACCCATGAAGATGGTACGACACACAGCCACCCTCATGACCGTACCATGGATCACACTCATGATAATGACACCCACACCCATGAAGATGGTATGACACACAGCCACCCTCATGACCATACCATGGATCACACTCATGATAATGACACCCACACCCATGAAGATGGTACGACACACAGCCACCCTCATGACCGTACCATGGATCACCTCATGATAATGACACCCACACCCATGAAGATGTGCGACACACAGCCACCCTCATGACCGTACCATGGATCACACTCATGATAATGACACACACCCATGAAGATGGTATGACACACAGCCACCCTCATGACCATACCATGGATCACACTCATGATAATGACACCCACACCCATGAAGATGGTACGACACACAGCCACCCTCATGACCGTACCATGGATCACACTCATGATAATGACACAAATGACACCCACACCCATGAAGATGGTACGACACACAGCCACCCTCATGACCGTACCATGGATCACACTCATGATCATGGCATAAATGACACCCACACCCATGAAGATGGTACGACACACAGCCACCCTCATGACCGTACCATGGATCACACTCATGATCATGGCACAAATGACACCCACACCCATGAAGATGGTACGACACACAGCCACCCTCATGTAGTTGGCATGAATAGCACCCATAATCAGGAACATGATATGAATGAAACTCACAATCACACTCATATGTGGGATGGTGTATCCCACATTCACCCAGGCGGTCAGGAAATGGATGAAGATCACAATCACACCCACGTAGATAGTTTGGCTGAAGGTAATGAACACACCCATGAGGATGGTGTTACTCATTTCCACGCTCATGAAGACAGCAACCATACTCATATGCCTGAGGATGGAATAAATGATTTCCACAACCACACCAGTATCAATATTCTTGAGAAGAAAAACAGAGCTGAGGACTTAGGGACTCACGACCTAAATATCTTGGAGGTGATGGCAGTCAATTCTACCACAGTGATGATTAGATTAGATGTATCAAACTCTGTCATGAATCAGATCCAGTCATCTGATGATCAGCACTTTATGGTCCTCTACAGTCCTGATTCCCTCATTTGGCCAGAGAGAAAGATACCTGTAAGTGAGGCCAAAATAGGCATTAATGAAATTGTCTTGTATCTCAACGACCTCAAACCGTCTACACCTTATCAGTTCCGTGTTGCATTCCAAGACTTTGTTAGTTCCACATCAAAGGCAAGACTCCTGGATGGCACTGTAGAAACAGGTAAGTTCTTATAATATAGCTAATATGTTGTTCCTGAATTAATTGCATGACTTGCACACACATATACAGTATACACTAAGTGTGTGTGTATATATATGTGTATATATATATATATATATATATATATATATATATATATATATATATATATATATATATATATATATATATATATATATATATATATATATATATATATATATATGTATATATATATATATGTATATACTGTGCTGTATATAATATGTGTGTGTTTGTGATTTATGTGTCATAGAACTGATGTGTGGCATGTTACTCAAATATTTAACTTTTAATATAAGCAACCTCACATTTTGCATGATATGTTACAGGTGCTCCTCTACTTACGAACAAGTTATGTTCCTGAGGCTTGTTTGTAAGTCCAACTTTACTCCTGTAGATACCAAACTTATTGTAAAATTTTTTTAAAAGATTATGGATATTTAGTACAGCTATACCCTTTAATAAAGCCTTAAAACCTGGCTCACTCTTCTCCTTTTAGGTAATGTTTGTTCTATCTGGAATTTTCTTCAAAATAATCCAGTCTCATCCACATTAAACACATGTTCTGGCAGGTAACCCCCCTCTGTGATGATGTTTGTATCTCTGAAAGTTTTTAAGTTGAACGTTCTTAAGTAGAGGAGCACCTGTACTTGTCTTTTGAATTCAATTTTGAATTTTAATTGCATGCAAAATAATATGAAGTATTTCACAAAAACGGCCACACTCGCATAATGTACCGCATACTGTAATACTTTTGACTGTTTTCTCATTCACATTGCCTGAACCAAGCAAAAATCAATTAAATCTTTAAGTGATTTGTGACCTAAAAATGGTCAGCATCTTGTCAAATAGTACACAGAGTTCACAGCAGCAACCTGCAACTCACTCATGCATTGAATTGACAGAGTTTTCATTGTCTCAGGGACAGTTTTTCAAATTCGATTTTCTAGAGTGTATTGTTGATGATGTGTTAGTGAGCAGACTGAGATACATAGATATGTTTTGTTAGCAGACTGAGATACATATACTATATACAGTATTTTATTTACATCACAAGTTACCCTTACTACTTTTTTGTCAGTGCTAATAATATCATAATATATATATATATATATATATATATATATATATATATATATATATATATATATATATATATATATATATATATATATATATATATATATATATATATATATATATATATATAAAACAGTAATTGTTAATTTTTATTTATGATTTAACAATGAAAAGTTGCTTTAAAGAGCTTGAATTATGGATTTTTAATCTTAAGTGTAACAGCAGCTTATATAGTTGCTATAATATTTTAGTGGATATTATTGGCAGAAACAGTTTTTATGGATAACTAAAACTTACAAATACTTATGAAGTGTGATCCATTAACTTCATTAACAGGGCATACTCTCTACTCTTTAGTGGAACCATTTACAATATACTGTACTCATCTTCAGTATTCTTTCATTTATGATTGTCTGTTGAATTTATATAAAGTGAATTACAGTAGTGTAGTTGTTATATATCAACATCTAGCCATACTACAATATGACACCCAGCCATATAGTACAGCACATTGTATCCTCTTATGTCAAGAATGTGATTTTAGTGAGCATATGCAACTTGTACAGTATCTGGCTTATCAAGTATACAGTACTGCATTTATATTTTATCTTAATACTTGGCTAATTTTTAAGACTTGTAGGAGTGTCCTTTATTTCTTATGAATGATAAAACATAAGATATCAACAGTTTTGCTACATTATTTATCTATACTGTATTGTATTTTTTAAGATACAGTACACAATAATGCACTGTTTTTGGTTCATAGACAAATACAGTAGTACCAAAAAAAATTGAATTAGTCTTCTGGACATTGGAGGTGCCAGCATCATATGTGGTCTATTATAGGTGAAGTTGAAGTTGGTCCAGCACACTTAGGGTGCGTTGCTGGAATGCAGTTCATGGAAGAGACAGAGTGTGGCCGTCAGTGTATGTGTCAAGCCAATGGCCAGGTGACCTGCAAGCCTCGGTGTCCTCGTGTCGAAGTACCACAGGACTCCATCACCAGCTGTACACTTGTACCCAGCCCTGATGACCCTTGTTGTACTGTACCAGATTGTCTCCTCAACTTATTCAACCACAATGTACTTCTGAATTCTGAAAATTTGACAAATAATCCTCGTGTGAATTTTAACACTGGTAGCATGGACCACATCAATCAGCCAAACAATGCACATGAACATGAAAATGTTTTAATGATGAGCAAACCCAAAGATGGAAACCAGGATTCTAGCAGAATATCTCAGTCAATTCTTGTTGAAGCTACAGATGACGCTAAACCCACAAGTGAAACCAGAGACAAACATGTTAATATCACAGATAGTCATCATCCTGCCAAGAACACACTCATCCCTGAAGACCAGGTTGCATCTGGGAGACCATTGAAATCTTTCATTTCTTTAAATGATTTGCTCAACAAGCATAATCAGCTGGGAAGTGTCCCCCACAATACTTCAGCTGTATCACATAGGCAAGATGAAAACTCTGACATCAATAGAAATATAACAAAAGAAACATCCCATGGTTTCCCTAACACCTTAAACAAAATTACCTCATCTCGACATAATGCCTCATTTATACTTACTGAAGGTATTAGAAACACTGAAAGCACAAGAGAAAAATCTTCCCTTGCCATTTCAGAAAATGAATTTGAGCATTTGTCAGACACACAAGATCATAAAACTTTACATTTACTCAGTGCTGATGCAAATGTTTCCTCAAATACTTCATCAGTTTTACCTCCTGATGAAATTGGCACACATGTACCTAATGATGACAGAGAAGATAACCCACCATACTTACCTGACAGTGTAAATGAAAATGAAGTTGGTTCATCTACAAACAAAGGTGAAACACCTCACTCTACGTTATTTGATAATCACCAGTTAACTCTTTCTCCCTCAGATGATGGGATAAAGAGTAATCTTTCATTTGGTTTACCTGATAATGACAGTATTGACAATATAACACCTACAACAAATGTTGAAATTTCACATAGCATCATAACACAGAATAATTCTGATTTTCTCACAGATGAACACGACAGTGCCTTCTCATCCAGTGACTTTGAAGAAAACTCACATCTACCCATTGATGGTAGAGAAGGGTCAATTTTACCAAATGAAGAAGAGGAGAATATATATGACACACATGAAGATAATGTTTATTTACCTCACCAAAAAGAAGGGAACTCACATTTACCAACAGATGATGAAGTGAATCTTTACTTGCTTAATGAGCATGGTGTACACCCTGATTTGGCTGATGGACATACTGAGAATCTTCATCTTAAAGAGAACAGACCAAAAGAACAAAGACCTGATTCCTACTTACCATCAACTAATGGAAAGCTTCCTCACCATCCTGCAAGTATAGAGGCTACTGTTGTTACTGAGGAGGAACTACTTGCTCCTGTCTCCAACAAGACTATCATTAAAGGTATTCAGTTGCTGTAGAAAAATATTTGGGCTGGTGCAGGAAACACTTAGAAGGGCTTTTGTTCAAGCTTTGGTGAGGATACTTTTCTCATGGGCTACTAGATGTTTCATGACTACATGTAGCCTAGTCAGCAAGTATACGCCTCACATATAGATTCAATAAGATTTAGTTTTCACACAGAAAAACAAGAAATTAACCTTTATTGAAGAAGTACAGAAGGATAAATCTTGCACTACAACAGTTTACTGGCTTCAAGAATGATGGGGTGCAGGAACACATGGGCTGCAGTATTATCAGTTGTATAAACAGCGATATAAACAGGATTAGTGGGATGTGGCTTTATATGTACGCTTATTGTCTACTACATTCCATGCTTGTTTTACGGTTATATATAAGATGATTATTATTGCACTGATAAACAATATGGGCCACAAGTGGTAGTTATTAATGTGTTGGCTTTTACTAACACGGTGTACATTTTTAGAACTTGTATCCCCACAAGGGTTAGCTACTGATGTACGGTACTCAGTGAGTCAGACTTAAGTAATACAGTAGTTACATTCTGTTTTGTTTTTTTAGATGACTCCGTCGTTGGTATGCATGTGGTATAACTATTTTATACTTTAATTTATTTTGTAATATACTGTAACTTTAAATGGAATAGCTTAATATTTTATGCATGTTTGTTTTATTTAATCTCTATTTTAAATTGTATAATTTTGTTTATGTACAGTATATATATAATTTATATCTAAAATTTTAAGCATGATACCCATATTGTACTGCACTGTATTATAAATACTGTAACTAATTTCCCAACAGCCTATTTTAAAAGATTTGTGTCTGTGATTTATCATTAATTGCAACCACACCTGTTTCTAATGTCAGTATTGTACACTGTACAGTACAGCAATCCCGTGAACAGTTGTTATATTGCAACTATTTACTTCAAGTTATGGTTTAAAGTCATGTACCTTCGTAAAACTGTTCTTTGTGTTTTTGTGGTTGTGTGGATAATGCAGTACATCAATCTTGTAAACTAACTTTGTCTTGACCATTTGGTGGCTTGTGGACGGTACGGTACAGCACTATTTATGGTCTTACAAAGTGGCTTATTTTATTATTCCACCAAGTCTTCAGGGCTAAAACTCAGGAAACTCCCAGTATACTGGTGGCTGACACTAATTAATTACTTAACTACAAATTCCCATTAAAATTTTTGCCCTGAAAGGGAGCTTAGAGATTACAGTTGACTTTAAAATTTGACGGCAATGAGTCATGATGTCACACCTTATTTGTTACCTGTTGGTGACTCCGGTTTAAAGATAGAAAGAGGGAAAGAACAAATTATTTATTTAATTACTAGCTTTCGGTCTTAGGTTATGAGACATGTCTGTTATACCAAATATGACGTCACTATAGTAAAGTTATATGCTAGTTTTTAAGGGCATTGGCAAACTGATAAAATAAAGATTCTTTGAAGCATTTCCAGGCCTTTGTTAGGTCAGTTGGTTTTTATTTTCTATTACAATGTACTGTATGTACAACACTGAAGATATTGATTCATTGTAGTTACCAAATGTCACAAGTGGCATACACAGTCATAGCTCAAGAACTCAGGGACATCATATTGCTGAAAACCTTTCCAAGGGGTGTGTCAAGCCCGTTCTTCCAAGGCATATACAGTAGTAGGTCATCAGCTAAGACTAGGAAGCTATAAGATGAGGTTTTTTACCTTCTTGTGTGGTGTGTCACTATTATGTGAAGTTTAAAGTACCACCTTCTGCCTGTATCTAGACTGTGGTCACCAACCTTCAGATATGAGAACGGTATGCTGATTGATTGACCTGTATCAATCTGGCTTGCGATACCTTTGTCACTTAGAACTGATGTACCCTCTGTGCTCCCAATTAATGTGACAAAGACAGCTTGAACTTAATGGTTGATCCTGCCAACAGGAGACAAATTTTGTGAACAAAGCTGATTTGATACCATGACTCTGCCCTCAGACTTTCAGTGGTCCATTTTAGTGCACTAGTTTTAGCTGGTAGGTGTAACTAAAATTAATTAATTCCAGCTGCTAATGCCCTCAGGGTTTTAAATCTAAGACTAGAAATATAATATGGATGCATGAGTAGCTTTGTCCAGACTTAGTCATAGAATGGGGTTTCCAAATTAATCCTCCATTTATGACGGTGAATGGTAGATGATACAGTACTGTACAGTATTATGTGTGCCATCATATGATGGTTATTATTTATGCAGAAATTGTGTGAATAATATGAAGAAACTGTAAATATGCATAAAAATGTTGATATTCTTGCAATGATAATAATAATATGCCTTTTTATTGAAAAATTTAGATGGGACAGACGGTGTGGACATTGATACTTCAAAGATGTGTTCCCGTAATGGACGTCATTACAAACCTGGGCAAGATTTCTTTGAAGATTGTGCCAGCTTCTGCATCTGCAAAGAAGATATGAAGATTCACTGCGCTGCCATTGAGTGTCCAGTTAATTTTGGGTTGGACCTTAAGGATCCTAATTGCCTTGAATGGGACCAGGACCCTCACTATGTTCCTACACCACCAAAGTATGTTAATAAAATTTATTTACCATTCTCAAGTTAATAAATCAGTTGACTGACAGCTATACTCACTGTATATCTCACTTGATAGTTTGAGATACAGGATACTGTATGTTGAAGTGATCAGTATTCTTTACAATTCATTACACTGTAGTACTGTGCAGTTCATTATTTTGGAGTTGTTAGTCTTTTAATTCCCTCCATACTAATCTCGATCAGTTCTTGCCCTCTTGGCTCTACACTACTATTAAATATCTTTAGTTAGGCAACAGTTCTCTCCTAAAACAGCAGGTTCACATTAAGGCAAAAAAGGGGCAATTGTTTCATGTGTGTCTGTGTTATACAATACTGTACACTACTGTACCAGCATCCATAATGCTATGGTAAATACTGTACAGTATTTAAAGGATTACTGATATTACTTTAGGTATGACGATAATTTAGAGTACAGTACAGTACAGTACAGATATTTGATAACAATTATACATTTATCACTGACATAAACGTTTGGGGTGGCAGTTCTGTGCTGTAGGATTGCCTATTGTTCTATGTAAAGGAATTAATGCAGTAAACTTGTTGATGAAACTTTTATTTATTAAACTACTAACATAAATATTATTACTGCAGCCTAATTATAATACTATGCAGTACTATGCAAATTATGGGCAAATTTGAATAAATATTCAATGCATTTTGTATGTCAGTTATTGATTAAAATCATATACTGTACTGTACATGTATTCAGTGGTTGACAGCTATTGTACAGGAGTAAAGTTTTGCTTTGCAATATAGTAGACTAATACTAAAGTGCAGGACCAAAGTGGGAGTGATTAAGTGATGTTCAATTTGGTGATGACTCGGTAGTAATCTTCTTCTCTGATAGCTGCCACCCAGTGGTTGACACCTTTTAATGACAATATGATTTAAATAAGTACTACAGTGTAAGATTGATTTCATAATATTTTTCAAGTTTTAATTGGCATCACTTTCATATTGAATTGTTTTCACTCAGAGAATGTGATGAACTCATTACAGTACGTATACCTTTACTTAACTATCTACCTAGACTACACTTAATGACACTCCCAAAAGGTGATTGCCCTACACCTTCCATATGAATGTTTTCATTTTTATCATAAGGTGTCTCTTACACATTGCAGATGTTGTCCCCAAGTGAAATGCATCATGACCTCAGCTTGTGTCTACATGGGTCAGACTTTCAACAATTATGATGAAATCCCAAGAGAACTAACTGGCTGTTCACAAGAATGCTCTTGTAATTATGGCAATGTGACCTGCCGTGACCTCTGTGCTCCAGTGCCCTCCATACCCCCTCCAGAACTCAACTGTGAACCCCAAAATGCTGTGCTCATTACTCTTCCTGGGGAGACGTGCTGTAGGTCTTGGCAGTGTGCAGCCCATTCAGGTGTAGGTGAGTGGTTGTGGCAGTGACATTCTCTGCTATTGATTTTTCTTATTATATTTTATATTTATTTTAACCCCACTTCCAGAACTTATGTATTACAGTATACCTTCTGCTATTTTAAGCCTTCACATAATTGGTATATATTAATCAACCCTTAAGGGGAGCGTCCGGCTGAAGCACAAAATTTATTAATAATTAATCAATCAATATCAATTTCCTGTCAGCAATTAAGAACACCAGATACATTGTTGCCATACCCCTGAATTGGTTCTGCCTAATCCCTAATCCCTCATATCTGATTTTTCCTTATATTATCAATTTTCAAAATCCTACTTCTCCATAATTTCTCGCTAAATTATGTTGAAATTCATGTATAATATAGGTAATTTACTCTTCTGAATGTAACATATTGATATTTATAATTATCGCTTTCATTTTGGGTGCATGAATTTTTTTCCTAACTAAGCATTTTTTCCTTCAAATATTTATAAACATAAATCGGCAAATAATAAACCAAGCCTCTATGTTCAGCCATGCATAGTATGTTATTCTACTAATTATTTTTTGTTTTATTAGAATTGGCCCATAAATGGTTGAGCCTTAGGGATTTGAAGGTTAGAAAAATTCATTCTGAGATATAGGCTGATAAAGGTGGCGTGAGAGCAACTCAAGATCGTGCCTCACTCTTGCATGTGTTATAGGTAACTGACTCGTGATGGCGGTCTCCCATGTTTAGTGAACTGAGAAAAGTGCCAGATACTGATTTTTACCAAGTGATTGGTATTACTTTACACCAAAATATTATTATAAATGCTTTTATACAGCTTTTCCTACGTAAACAGAAGGGCCCTTTAAATGAAGGGGGGGTAGAAAAATCATGCATAGCTACATAAATATTAAGAATTACACAATAAAAATATGTCAGCATATAGCCATAGGCAACAGCTTTCCTCAAGAATTTTTCTGAATACAGGTATTTCATAATTTTCCGATTTTCAGCCAAACGCTCCCCTTAAAGACCAATAAAACATGCACAGTTAAATTTAATATTTGTAAGTTATTGTACTGTGAACTGTACTGTCTTCTAGCAAGTCTATACTGTATGTTGGATCAGTCATCACACAAGTATAATACAGTAGTACTCATAATTATTTGGATCATTTTGAATTTAAGGTTAAAATTAATCTACTCATCATAAACAGGAACAATGAGGTAGATACATTACTGCACAGTACAGTGATCAACAATTATTAGGTTGACAACACAAAGAATTTTGAGTTTAATTACCATATATGTATGGAGAGACACCGTGAGAGGACCTCCAAGATGACACGTGTAGGGAGGAATTACTGTAAAAAAAAAATTACTCTCCGCTGGTCTGTGAAGCTGAAAAGGCTGTGAACCGTTCAAAGAGTCCTTGCTTCTCCATATGACTCATGTGCGGTACAACAGAGAGGTGAAAACACCAATAAAATAAATTATCATACATTCTAGTTTTCCTCGTATAAATGAAGTAAAATTTATAGCAGTAGAGATTTTGTTATTAAATAAATTTTCTGTTATGGTATGGTAATACAGTATCCCCAATAACCAGAATCTTTGATCACCAGATCTTCCCATTTTGCAGAGAATATTACTCTTGGAAATTGAATTCTTTAAGAACTGTTAAGCCTTTGCTCAAAGGATGAAGTAATATAAGTGGATAAAGAAGAGAAGGATAAGGAAAATAAAAGGGAATGGAAGTATGAGATAACATTTATAAAACAAAGTGATTTTTAAAAGTTTAATTCTGTACAGCACAGTATACTTCTAATGAAGGTTCAATGTGAATCTGGCCAAGGGTAGAGAACTTTTTGCCCACAACACTAAGCCTTAACAGAAAAACAATGTAATACTCAATGTCCAAAAATCTGCATCTTAGTTAAGCTAACACACAAGCTGGTGTGTTAGCTGCTGCTTACTATCATCTGTATTTCCTTTCTTCTCTGTTTGTCAACTAACTTTTAACCAAGGTCTCTAGACCTTCTCAAAACTTATTTAAAAATATACAAAGCAGTGTGTCAGGAACAGTAACTTCTTTATTGTCAGTACTTTGATAATTTGTGTACAATTCACTTTTCATCTGCATTTCATTTTGATTAGTCATGTACTGTAATATTATTTATATTTTCATAGGTATTAATAAACTGCCATTGATGCCTATGTAAAAAAGATTATGCAGTATTTTTATGACACACATGATATCCTGCTTTGTAGTATGACAGTTAAATTAATACAAAAAGAATTAATATTGAAATAACATTTTCTATAACAGTGAAACTAAACATATTATAGACTATCTTAACACCTGCAATGCTTTACTACCTCTTTTCTAACTTGGTCTTTAGTATCATCTCTCTAGTGCAAAGTTTTCTTAAATTTTCAAAGGGATGGATCTTTTTTTGACTGAGGTATATTGATACCCACTTTAAGAAATCATCAGGGTTTGTTTATAGTGATTGTGTATTTATTTTTGTTTATATAATAGTCTTGTTGTGAAAGATTGTGCTTGTGTTATATTGCGTCAAATTTGGTGTTGTTTAATTTTTGGTGTAAGTCTACTCAAAATGTTTTCCTCCTTCAAAACTAATAATATTTAAATTATCGTTTTCAACTCCTGCTTCTTAATCCCATCCCCGGTAATGGTGTGTGTGGACCTCCACACTGGTAAGCATCATTCCTTGTGTACAGAGCATATATGTTGCATGATTGTGTTGCAGAGTTTGAGTTCTTGGGTACAACGGAAGTGGTAGAAACAACGCAGTTTCCAGGTGACTCCCCAGGTGGGTACAGAAGCACTGCTTTCTCCCACAAGCCACACTTGCAAAATGCTTCTTGCTTCACTGCTTAGATTATATTATTGATCATAACAGTACAGTACTGTATTATGAAAGTAGTGTTCCATATTACAGAACTTGATACACAAGTTTGTGGTGATCATGCCCTCATTATGTCAAAAGAATTATAAAATCGGCTGGAATATTGGGAATTCTTATTGGCTTTAGCTAATTAGCAAAGTAAATGTAATTTTACCCCACACGGTATTTCACTTTTCTCACTGGTGATGTGAAATACGATACAAATGAGCGAATTTAAAACCATCTTTAGGAAAATCAGAACCAGGAACTGACTTGGGAATCTCAATTATTATGTATCAATATCTCTGATGCCTTGTTCTCTTGGGCACTAAGCATGGACTCTTGTAGCATCTTCCTCAAACACTTCAACAACCATCACCACACCTAGTATTGTACTGTACTGTACTTAGGACTCTCTAGTAACATTTCACACATTTGTTAAAGAATTCTGTGTACTGTTTTGGCTGTCAGGTTGTCATGACATGTTTTTATAGCAGAATAAAAACATTTGGAGAGATGGCACAAGCAGGAGGGACAGTGAAATATTAGGGAATGAAAAAGCATCATTTACTGTAAGATCATTGTGGAGTGCAAACATGTACAGTTCAACAGGTGGTGGAACAGTGTGGCAGGATCAATAGGTGGTGGTGTAGTGTGGCAGATCAACAGGTGGTGGTGTAGTGTGGCAGTTCAACAGGTGGTGGTGTGGTGTGGCAGTTCAACAGGTGGTGGTACAGTGTGGCAGGTCAATAGGTGGTGGGGCAGTGTGGATGTGGCCACAGAAAAGAACTGTCGGTAAATGAACAGGGACTTGCTTTGTTTCTGTTAAGGCTTTACTTCCCTGAGTATCCAAGGCCAGGTGGCATCTCTTTTTCTTTCTTTTTTAATAATTACTGTAAAACACCCACTTGTTGCTTTGCTGTAAGGAGAATAACATAATATACTAGTTGTTGCATGAGTAACAAGGTCATTGCTCTTAAATGTATGCTCAGTACTCATAATGTATTGCACATAGATGAGTTTGCATAAAGTACAGTATGTATAATAATCAACAAATGATCATTAAAGTTTCAAGCTGAAGGTAAATAAAGTACTCGCCATCCCTCACAAAACTAAGCAGTAGTACCAGTAAACTGTTTTGTGAGCAACTATTATGCATGTAATAAACAAATAAAACAAATTTACACAGTACAGTATATCATAATGTTACATGCCTTAGTTCACCAGTTCATATTCATCTCCCAATAGGTGGCCACTTTATATTTGTTTCCATGAATGCCAAAGTTTTTTGTGGGCCAGAAGTACACAACAGTACACTATACTATGGCTGATAAGCTTTTGCTCCACACTAAGTGATATTTGCTGGAATTCTGCTATTGCACGAACATATTTATCTGTTGTGATTAATAATTTTAAGTTTTTGTTTGAGGATTCATTTTGAAAAAAAACTTGCATGTTTGTTTCAAGGTGTTTTACCATAGTATAAGTTAATGTTAAGCTTCATCTTTTTTCTTAACAATCAATTTAATGTTTTTATGACCGGATTGTTTTATGTATTTGAATTGGCTGATCTTAACTAATATCATCTTTAATTTCATTTGCCGAGTTATTTATTTATTGGAAGTCCAGGGAGTCCTCACTATACATCATCAGACATAAGTTCCTGAGTAGTGCAGTGTAGCTAACTCAGTACTGTACTGTACTTAGTGTTTTCTGGCCAAGGGACAACTGTCACTTGCTGGATGTTTTTCGTGGGATGCTTCATCAATTACGTAACGTGTAGTATATAGACAAAACAGCGTATTATGAGGCAAAGTGTAGTCATGACTCCCTGTGCTGTACTGTATGTCAGGATGGGTCTCTTTAAAATCTATATTTTCCTTCCACTTTTAACAGCAAATAACTAAAAACTATCTCAAACACATACACTACTCTAAAATGTTTTCCACTTGGGTTGGCAAATTCTTGTTTAAAAAGTCTTCCTCCCTCCATTGGTAATACTCTACTGTACTCCTCACCCTGTACTCAATGAACACATGAAATCTCATCTCTTAATTTCACCAACTTCCTCTTTTCCAACATAGTGTACAGTATTATGAGAATGTAACCCCTCTTGCCCCCCCTAGTAGCTAAATAACTGCACATGATGTTATAGGTACCCTTGTGAGTTTTCCTGTGCCGCCCGGGTCTGAAATGAGTGACACCCATACTTCTGGTTTTGTACCCATCGCTCATCCCGTAAACCCTATCCTTGGTGCAGGTGCGTCTACTGTGCAGTATTTATTTCTTGACTTTGCTCATCTTAAGTTGGGTACAGTATTCTAAACTTGATATTTTCTTCAGTATTGATGCATCCTAATTTTTTTAACCAAAAGGATTCAAAAACCTTTATTCTGGCATCCAGTACCATAATGTTTTCCAAAGTCTAGGTGAGTGAGATGAGTTAATGCTTAAGGGAAAAATAATCTTAACTGATATTATTTATAGTCTTCAAGAGACTCATACAATGTTTTATGATTCAGAGGAATGAAATTACACCAAATGACCTTAATAGCCCTGCTACTCTTTTTGTATAAACTCTGATAGACAATTTCCTATTCCAACATGTGAAAGATCTGACTCATTACAGAGGAAAACAAACACCCAAACTGCTGGTGGCAAAGTTGGAACATCTAGCCCCTGTTGGCACTAGCCATCATGTGACCTTTTCCTTTATATTTAAGTGTCACCTTTTTAATGATAAGAGCAGGCCAAGGTTCAAATATTACAGTAGCAATTATGATAGGATGAGGGAGGAGATGAGGGGTATTCACTGACCTGACTTGCTGGTAAGCAAGAATCCAGAGAGTCAGATATTACCCTGAACATCATAGTCAGTAAAGTGAACTGTATGATTAATAAATATATTGCCAAGACCAAACCCACTAGCTCCAGGAATACAGGGAGACCGCGCTACACATGAACCATGCGGCAGTTAACAAAGTTAAGAAACATTTTCAGAAAATCTTTTTCCTGTCTTTTATCCATTTTTATTGCTATGTTAGATATGATCCGTATTGTTGTTCCCCCACCACAACATGGCCCCAAGATATCTACCAGGTGTTTCTCTGTTGCTTCACCTAACCTAGCATACCATCAACAGTACGTCCATCTCCATAAATCACTTGATGCTGTGTTATCCTGTCTTTCATATTCTGTATATCACTGCTTTGTGGATGCCAATCTTCTGTACTTGTAGTTCATACTTCATTCTATCTTTCCATCTCCTTGGTCAACCCCCTCCTTCCATGCACCTTTTTCAATAGTAATCATCATCATCATCGTCATCATCATCGTCATCCTTTACTTCTCATTGTCACAATAAATTTTGTCCAAACTGCCTTAGCAAACCCCTTGTCATAGCTCTGCCTAAAACTTTTTCCCATTTTTACATCTTCAATTTCTGTTTTTCTTATTTTTTGTATCTTATTAACCCCACATATTGCTCTTTTGTGTGTAGTTCTGGGCATTCTTTTCTCTAACAATTGCTTTATCAATGCCAGAGTTCCTCAGGGTTCTGTTCTAGCACCAGTTCTTCTCTTGTTACACATTAATGATCTTTCAGTGACAAACAGTTCTATTTACTCCTATGCAGATGACACCCCTCCATAGATCTTACATTTTGACTGTCGAGATCACATAAGATGGAATTTTTAACCCCAGGCAACAGGTATTCTTATCTCTACAGGAAGCCTTGCATTGGTGCATCCAACTTGGTTTCTTTCAATGCTACTAAAATAAAATGCATTATGTTTAGTAATGGGCATGATATTGCACAGTTCAACATATATTTTAACAACACCATCATCATCTTACCATGGCAAATTTTATCAGAAAGCTTGGACTTGTTCAGAACCAGCTCCTACTTTTCTGATGAGCAATTGTCAATCATTTATATAAGTAATATGCACTTTCATGTGAAATATGCTCTTATCCGAGGACTGGCTGTGGTGTTGGGACATTTTGCTTTCTTGATTCAGTGCTGAAAAAGCCATCAAAACAGTCAATAATAACAACCTTACCAGGATATTTCCAGCATTGCATACTTGCAGGGATATCTTATTGTTCCCTGTACTGTAGACACTGTACTGTATTTCCATACCCATGACCTGATGAGCTACACTCATGCTACACACACAAGTTTTAAAATAAATCAATATTTGTTTTTAATAAAAATGATCCGACATTTTTTCCATGTCAACTTTTCAGATGGCATTGCTGAACCTTATGTCACCCCACTAGATGCCAGAAATGTTCACTTCTTCTTCTCCACCCCAAAACACTACCAAGGTCTTCCTGGTGAACTACTTATTAGGTTTACAAATGATCCAGTGTAAGTATATTTATTAATACTCTTTAATCCATTATGTTTTTATGTAACTTATTTCTTTCTTAATATACAAACAGTATATACTGTAATCTATTATGGTAAAATTGCTCTTGGAAAATTTGCAATTTTTATTTTTGCAGCATACAGCACTAGAATATGAACACTGCCAAAATCATAACCTTCAATTTATATCTATTAATAGAACTTCCTGCCATATATATGATTTTATTTATATTTTTAAATTAAGGGAAATAGTTTTTTAGAATTAAGTGAACAAATGTATTTACTTATTAAAGTTTATGTTAAGTCATGTACATGTACTGTATCCTGATAAAATTACCTTAATACTGTCCAGTAAATTAAAGAATTTTCAGTACTGTACAAGCATTGACATTTATTACTGTACTGACTTTGGCAAAAAATGGTAGGTTATTGGTCCATGTCTGGGGCATCCCCAGTCTACTAGTCTACTCAGCCTTAAATGAGTACCCAACTTTACAGTTGGGGGCTGTGAAGATAGTTGATGCATTGCTGGTCATGTTGCCCTCTTGTGTACCAAGGCTTAGTGTACACTGTACAGTGTGTTGTATCTGCACTGTCTTGAAGGACTGGTAGCTAGGTCTCTGGGACCCACAATCACTTTTCAGAGTTTTAAATTATAAAAATATAACTAATATGTGACAAAATAAAAGAATTAATGATTGTAAGAGAAATATTGATTGATAGGCATCTCCTGTGTTCTAAGTGTGTTTAGTTACTTGAATCATCAATGTCTGATAAGTGTGGTCATCTCTAATACTTTGCTTGTAATTGGGAGGTAAAGGATTATAAGATTAGTGCCACCGACTCCAGTTATGTGGTCTTAGGGACGATCCTCAGTCATCATGGTTTGTACATTAATTTGACTTACAAGTTATGAGCTTAATCAGAAAATGGAATTTCAGAAACAATCTTACATTTACACAGTCACAGAAGGATAAACTATTGTATGGCATTTTAATAGCACTTGTTTGTGTGAAGGCACTTTTTTTCCTTTTTTTTGTGTTAGGGGTTCATTACATGCTCAGTGTGGTTGAACAAAACTTTTTTTTATTGATGGAAATTAACAGTAAATACTGTACTGTACACTTATTTTTCAAGTGAAAATTTTAGGTAACTTAAGCAGTAATTAGTGTAACATTAATATTACTGAGGATTTTTTATTTTTATTTTTTTTATAAATATAGAATGGTTAGCCTCAGTATACCTTAATATGTAAGAAATTGCTATTGTATGGTCATTTAATTATTTCAGAAGCCAAGCTGACCCCAGTACTTGGTCCCAAGAGATATTGGTACCCATGGGGTCCATTATTAGTCAGTCAGAGTGGGACCACCTCTTGACTGGCCTGCAGCCTTCTACCGTGTATAGTATGCAGGTTGTGCTGACTGTGCATGGTACTGAGCCAGTCACTTCACCAGTAATTACCTACACCACCATGGAGGAAGGTAAGGCATAATTAAGCTACAGTATCTTATATTGTCCAGAGCATAACTCTAAATTCATATGTTTAGTTACAGTTGTTAGTTATGCCCCTTTGACAAATTAGGTATTTAGCATGGGCAGCCATATCCTTACTATGTAAGAGAAAAATAGTCTAATTTATATATATGTAATAAGGACACAAGATGGTGTTGTTGGGAGAACATTTACTGTCATTAATCACAGATGATATAAAGCCAGTGTCTAAGACTATACAGTGCACATATACTAGCTAATGCATAAATGTACAGTATCTATATAGTACTGTACTGTAGTTACTGGTTAACTAACTAGATGATGAAATAAAGTCTTTGAATTGTTGTCTTCTTGAAATTGGCTTGTAAGCAGTAATTCATTACAGCATCTTTAAATTTCCCATTTTTGTTACAGCTACACCACCACCAACTACCACTCCTTTACCTCGATTGGACATAAATGCTGAGCTTTATGCCTCTGAGATCACCAAGACTACAGCAAAGGTGTCCTGGCGAGGCTTTGATGACTTTGAGCTTCATTACATTGATGGTGTACAAGTTAAATACACTGAGAAGGATAAACTGGTATGAACATTGAAACACAAAATAAATATTGTTTCTATCATTTTTATTTTCTAAATAGGATATGCAGTACTTAGTCCAAACAGCATTGGAAAAATATAAATGTGATGAAATATATTTTTTCCAATAGGGTTTTCACATATGTAATTGTTTATAGTGCAGTTAGTGGTGCACTGTTATCATAAATAAGCCTTTTTTTTTTTCTTAAGAAATTTTCTATCAATGCTATATTGAATTATTATAGGCGGATGGTCTTTGACTACCTCAGGGAGTCACACCCTTGCCATGCCAGCTGTTCCCACCCAATGGGTTGGCAGTAGCCTTAATTCTGTGCCTATCCCCTGGTCTTTGCTGCATTTTCTTGCCTTGTGCCCTGATTTTGCAGTGGTGAGCAGGAGACATCCCATTATGGTTTTGCCTAACAGATGCCATCGGGTAATTGCAGATAACCCACATGATCGTGGAAAATGGCTGTAAAACATCAATGATGATTATGATGACTTTTTTAACTTTTCATCTTTTTCTTTTTTTTGCCCCCCAAAAAACTTAATTCTTGCTAATATGATGATAATATTTTATAGATCCCCAAGTTCAGCCAGCTGTTCCACCGTGACAATGACCAAATGGACCTGCGAGGCCTCCAGCCAGGCCATTCCTATACTGTGGACTTAGTTTTCATCACCCATGAGAACCAAACAACACAAGTCTCTAATACTAAGCCGATAACCTTTACTACACTTCCTGAAGAAGGTGATTACATATACTGTATCTTCATTCATGACATAATTCTTCCTTACTTCTCTTTTTTATGAAGCAACATTTGTAAATATTAATAACATAAAATTTTACCTAACTCTTATTATGCTGTGTTATGCAAGTACAGTACAAAAGAAATTTAATGTCGTATTGCACTAAATTACTGTTTCATTTTTCTAGATCCTTATGCATTTGAGATTGAGGTAACAGCTGGCAAGGTGGCATCCCAGACTGCAGAACTGTTTTATTCTGGAGTGCCGGAGCCTGAAGAAAAGTACATTAATGTGTACCGAGCTGTCTATTTACGTGAAGACGAGCGGGTAGATGCAGAATCTTTCAAGGTCCCCAAGACTGGCCATGAGAAAAAAATCCTGTTGCATGAATTAAAGCCTGATGTTGAATACCAGGTGTGGATAGAAGCCTACCTGTCCAATGGCCGCAAGAAGAAGAGCAACGTTCTCACCATCACCACTCGTGCTGGCCAGCTTCCTAAACCTGAGAGAAGTGAAGTTGGTAAGTTGTTTGTATGTTTAACTCATACTTAAACATACAGTATCACTTTTGTTGTAGTATATATATATATATATATATATATATATATATATATATATATATATATATATATATATATATATATATATATATATATATATATATATATATATATATATATATATATATATATATATAGGATATTATAGTTCACAGATGACTGCTATATACCTTTCATAATTAGTTTATTTGCCTGAGTCCTCTTAGGCAAATGTGTGTTATATTAATTAACATATAAAATATATTAGAAATATTCCATTGTCATACAAATTTATAGTAACTCAAAACACTTGTCTTGGTAAGATCCCTCAACTAAGGAATCAAAGGATAGTGAGGGTTACTACCCAGCGCTGGTTGCCGTAGCGATCATTGCAGCCATTGCCTGTTTGGGCTTCCTTGGTCTCCTCATCATACTTCTCAGAAAGCAGAGCCATGCAAAGGCTCACATTAATTCCGCCAGAAACAACGCCGCGTATGACAACCCGTCATACAAGGTAGGCGACAATGTAAGTACAAAAACTAACTTTCGCTTTCGTATTAACCTGTAGTTCCCGAGTTGATTCTTAAGTATGCCACTGTAGAGTTGTAACTGGCTGTGTAGTTGTTTACAAAAGCTCCCATTACAAAAACACACTTTAATAGTTGTCAATACAGTATTTTAATTTCTCCCATATTATAATTGTATCTTTGGTTAAATTGCTTAGCTTACATATAAATTAATCTTTTAAACCACTTCCTGTAAAACCACAACGGCTTTTCCATAAATTGTTATTATTAATATCACTATACCATATAAACCCCTTAACTCTACACCAAAAACATGTAGTATGTGTTATGTGTATCCTTTCATAGTAGTTTAAATATTTATTACATGCTTCAGATGTTATTTGAGTAAAAAAAAATAAAAAAAATCAGCATATAATAAAAAGATTAGTGCAGGGAAGTATTTTGCTATATAATCTGGACCTAAGCTAGCGGAGCCTTATACGCAATGTCACCTCCCTCTCCACCTCCTGCTCGGGTAATTAAAGCTAGACGTCGCATTCTGGATTGAACAAAAAGCCGTTTTTTTTAAAAAAAAACCAGTTTTTGTGATATACAATAATCCAGAATGCGACGTCGACATCTCACCCATCTCCACCCCTTGAGAGTTGACATTTGTTTACAGCTCGCTCTAGGACAAGAGATGACGGTAGCAATGCGTGTGATGGAGGGTGCGGGAGGGGGTTTTGAGAATTGCAATTAAATGCCAGGTAGCGACGTGTCCTCCTAATATTACATATTAAGTAATTATTAGATGTTTTAATTGCCTGTATGTTGGCCTGGTGAGTTGTTGCTAGGCATTAACATACCTAGGTAAATAATGTTGATTTTTTTATTTGCTTTACTTTATAAATGCCAGTCCATGCATTAAAATGAAGCCGCTGCAGATGTTCTCCCAGATATGAACATTTATAAATACATGTACAGTGATCCCTCAGTTAACGACCGCCTCGGTTAACGAAATTTCGGTTAACGAATTATCTTCCATAAGAATCTTCAATTCGGTTAACGAAATCATGTCAACATGTTTTGGCTTGCTCACCAGCTGGAAGATTAGTCTGCCAATACAGTAATCAGTTCTAGGGCTTATTTTCGTTTCCATTGGAGTAAATATCAAGAAGGTTGTGTTATTCAATATTTTTCTAAGTTTTATATTAAAATTATTAGTCATTTTAACACTTATTTAACATAATTGCAGTACAGGGAACTAGTTTTTGGTGCGCCCATCAGCCACTTCACTCACCCACCAAGGCCTCAGTTTGTATCTCTGTTCAATGGAGGAAACATCTTGCTTGTGGGTCTCTTGAACACAGAGTATTTTTACGTTTTTACAGTACAATTATTGGTCATTCCGAAATTTATTTAACATATTGACAAAATATATAATGCAGTGCAGTGTTGATTTAAAGAAAATAATCTTTAATTACACCTAATGAACTTAAAATTTTGTTGGTGAAATGATGCCATCAAGCATGGGTCCCCTGAAAAGTGATTTCTCCTCCACCCCCACTTCCTTCTCTTGTCCCTTCTCCTCCTCCACCCCCACTTCTAATTCCCATCATCATCAACCAGGAGCCTTCTACATATTCACCTCAAAGTAAGTGTACTTAACTGCATTTTGTTTTTACTTTGTATGTAATTTTCGGTGAGCTGGAACCAATTACCGAAAATCCCATTGAAACAATGGATTCGGTTTATGAAATTTTCGGTTAACAAACAACCCTCTGGAATGAATTGAGTTCGTTAACCGAGGGACCACTGTATGCCATTTTTTTCTGATAAATTAAATATTTAGCCTCTATTGATTCTATATGAAATAAAATTGTGAAAAGGGTACTCTGTACTGCATTGGAAATGTTGAAATAGAGTGAAATGAAAAATTAGATTTAGTGCTGTAATGTTGCATACTGTATGTGGTGTTGAAGGTACCAACATGATTTATGCAATTTTATAAATTTACCTTATTTACCTAATGACCACACACTAGAGATGGCCATGCCAAGGGATAGGAAGCCAGTGGCCTGTGTAGGATCCCTCCATTGTTTTTGATAAGTTTGGCAAGGGCTATTTTGAAGCCCAGTATTGTTCTTAATTCTACAGCTTGGGCTGGTAAACCATTCCATGGGTCTACCACTGTATGTGTGAAAAAGTATTTCCTTATATTCGTTCTGCATGATAACTTAGGCAAGCTTGTAGTTATGTCCTCCTGTATTGGTGGTGCATGACATCGCAAGGAAATGGCCTAGGTTAACTTTTTACATCCCTTTCAGGAATTTGAATGTTTCGATGAGATCTGCCCAATTGTATTGGTTTAGTTCTTCACAGATCACTCATTGGTGACTCATAGGTATAAAGTCTGATTTCATTATCAAGGGGAAGAATAAACTTACTTGGGTCCCTCCCTCTTACCTTGCTGGGATTTGAAATTGGTGGGGCTGTAGAGTCATGCTGTATGGAATTGCTTTACTGTATATGGTCTGAAGGGCCTGAAGATAGTGTTTTATCTCCTAACCTTAAATATCAGTGGACCTTGAGTTAATAACCAAGTCATCTTGGGTCACATCATCAACCCTGGTTCATCTGAGTGAGAAATAGTGTACATAAATTGTAGTAGAAAGCATACTTTAGCCTTTCCACTTTGATGATGTATCAGGCCATTGAATATGTCAATCCCTCCAGCTAACACCAGACGATTTTATTCAGCTGAGAGGCGACCCTGTACACATGGGGTTAACATATGGATATGGATCAGATGTTTGGAAGCTGACAACAAAAACATAAACCATATACTGTACAGTATAGTACAGGCTGCTGAGATGAGTATATTGAGAATAATACACAGATTTACCCAACTAGAGAAGGTAAGGAATGAGCATATTTGGAGAGAATTCAGAGTGGAGTCATTGCTACTGTACTATGTATTCAAAGAAACCATCTGTGATGGCACAAACATGTTTAGAAAATGGGAGATAACAGGTATCAAAAATATACCATCATGAAGAGACATGACCAAAACACCACAGCTTAAGGTTGAAGAAGCCACAACTCCAGAAAATTGTGAGGGCAAACTTTTTCGGAGTGAGAATTGTAAACTCTTGGAACAATCTGTCAGAGAGTGCTTTGACGGTACCAAGTGTGAGCTCCTTCAAGACCAGACTTGATCAACACTGATCCACTTGATAATGAACCAAAGTTCAGTGTTATTGGAGAAGTGTTGAGGCAAGACATTTGGTAACATAAACAGTATGAGAAGATGGATACAGAAAGCAAAATGTTCTCAAGAAGGGAAACATGCATTGGGCCACTTGTGGATCATCATAGAAATAAGTAACTAAAACTAACACTAAACCAACTTTTGACGACTGAACTTTGTTTTTCAGACATACGATATGGAGATGAATGGAATTAAAGGAAGCGGAAATGGTGCCACACACATGGAGGAACCTTAGTCCATGCTCACATCTAGGTCAAGCTTTTCATCTATTATTTTGTTCTCATTTGTCTTCCCCTTTCCCAGTTTAAATGTTCATATGTCTCATTTTAGAGAAGAACATTGTTTTATATCCTTTTGTCTCAAGTGTTGAGATCAAGCAATAGTGTAAAAATGCTTCCATCAATATTACTGATGTAAATATTTGCAATAAAAAAAAAGCCCAGAACTTGTACCATTGCCTTGATTGGCTGTCTTATTTTTACTGGAAAAATTCAAATTGACTCAAGAGGCAAAACACAGTTATCAGATAAAAGCTGCTGTACACCTGTTGAATATAATTTGTTACAATGGTTATTAGTATGGGCTTTAGTGTAATATACACCAGCCTCATGAACTTCTACAACATATTCTTCTCATACTGTCTTTTAGTGTTATGGTGTTATAATAATCAAGTTATAGCTTAATACTAACTTGTGCTTCAGTCAGTTATCTTTATCTATTTATAGGTATTTATAGTCCCCCCAGAAGTGATCCAGAGTACTATGCTAGTACTCTGTCAATAATTTGGTTGTGCCTTTTAAAGCAAAAGTGTTGTACTTAATTGTGCCATTATTGTACACTAGCACAGATGGAAATTGTACAAGAGACTACAGTTATAACATTCAAGAGAATTAAATAGTGTCCACATCCTCTTTCTATTAGGAAGTGAACAGTATTTGAAACTTGATGGTAAATAACAGTCAAATAAGCATGTGAAATAAACACTACATGCAAACGTCCAAACTTTTCCATACTGCAAACTCCATGAGTAAGGCGAGTTATCCACTAGAGTTAAGAGATGTGTAATCACTCATTTGTCCCACATTTTCTTAAATATTCTGTTGGATATCTTGCAATCCTTTTGAAGGATAAATTCAACAAAATATATAAGCAACTGTCTGGGGTAACCAACACTGTTACAGAAATACATTGTTATGAATATAATAAATGTAACATTATGCAGAAGTCATAGGAATATTTAAGTACTACATTACTGTACAATGTAAGAAATTAGTTCTTGTGGAAAAACTTCCCTACTGCCAGGAAAACACTACTGATAATGTATATGTGATAAGAATGATCTGAAGTTTTCTAATATAGTGTAAGTGTTATCAATAAATGTGTATATCATTTAAGCATTACAAACATTTATTCATGATTTGTACTTGTATTTTTGTACTGTACTTTGTTTTACAAAATCTATTTTTCATAATATTAGATCCTCACCTTTGTCCAGTATTGACTATTGAGGATTTTCAGCTAAATTGTAATTGTTTGTTACACATTAAGTTGAGAATTACTGTAATGTCAATGGAAAGTGCTATATAGAATATCAGAGTACATTATTACCAGTACCCTGTAGCTCGTGTCACAAACTACTCATTTAAGCCCTTGCTTAAATTAAAATTTAGGGGAATTACTGTACAGTTTAGGAATAAATTCATCTATTTTGATTACCTCCACAATATATTTCTCATTTTTAATTATAAATTTTTATACATTTCTCACAATTGTGTAATTACTGCTTGTTCGTGTGGTCAAATTCCAAGCCATTCAGGCCGACATATTAACATTGACGGTCGACATGTTAACACTGGTCAGCCTGTTTTGTACAGATATAGTTGTAAAAATATTGTGCTGTAAAGCACATTAAACTACTCCTAAGAATTCCCTGGCATGATTTAACCTCGTATATTTAAGATTCACCAATTCAATGGTACTATAGTAAACACCCATTTCTATACTGTACATCCTAAGAGGTTTATGAAAATTTGAAATAATGAATGTATAAAGTACAATAACAAAAAATGGGTTTTAATTCAGGGCACTGCTGACACCCTTCAGTACATTACTATGTATAGTCATGTTTTCCCATTACACTGTACTCCACTACAACCCTTGTATAGCAACAACAAGTAAAGAAAATCCCTTATGAAGAAGCCAAAGGCACTGTTAATACACGTACTGTACTAAAAGGAAGTGAGAGATACAATAATCTCCATTAGCCGGAATATTTGATCCCCGGAACTTTCCGATGGTAAGAATTTTTGTTTTAGCATTCAGAGAAATTCCGGGATAAAGCTCTTCGTTCCGGGTATCCAAAAAATTCCTAGGATTGCATTATGTGCATTCCAGATAATTCTGAGAAAATCTCTTTTCCGGGCATTTGAACGAATTTCCGGGAGATTTCATCATGTTTCCGACGTAGGGACACGTGCCGGGCACATTGGTGGGTAGGCTCAGAATACTAATGACCTATGATTGGCTACTACAGTATTGCACTGTCATGTGATGCCTGTGATTTGCTGATATATAATCTCAAACTCGTGCATCATGACACTCTTAGCTCACTGCTGTTTTTGCATACGATCTCTTTTGTGCAGTACTATACTGTACATTACTGTGCCAGCATATAATCTGCCAAGAAGACTGTTGAGCCAGTGTTAAGATTCAAAAAGTTATTACAGTTACATATACTGTACAGTACTGCACATAGCAGATTAGACAGTGTATGCCTACTGTAGGCTAGTGTGTAGAGGGTGTATGTACAGTATACAGTGGGTGTGTACAATCCCTCTTTCATGAAGAGGATTATATTGTACAGTATGTACAATGAACTTGATTACAATATTATATTATTACTAATATCATTATGTTATAACATTGCACGTAACAATATTCTTATAATACAGTAATTGTATAACTATAATTTTATAACCATTATAATATTACATTAAGAATAATAATACAGTATAATGTTATAATATTATACTTATTTTAATACCTGTATAGCTAATACTGTACTGTACTTTTATAATATTAAGTTGTACAACTGAACTGTTCTCTGAGAATCTTACCATTATGCCAGGGTGGCATAAATGTTCCACCACACAGCCCTTGTTAGGCAGACCATCTTCCATTAGTAACTGGTTGCGAGAAAAATAAATGCAATGGATATTATCCTTAACTCTGATCGTATAAATAAATACATGATTAATAATGCATTAAATACTTAATGGTTGATTAGTCAATATTGTTGAAAACTATGAAAATATTATGTAGTCTGAAGAGTACTGTATTATACAGTGATCCCTCGGTTAACGAAATTTCGGATAACAAATTACCTTCCATAAGAATCTTCATTTCGGTTAATGAAATTCTTACGAAATCATGTTAACATGTTTTCGCCTGCTCACCAGCTGGAAAATTAGTCCGCCAATACAGTAGTAATCAGTTCTAGGGCTTACCGTATATACTCGCGTGTAGTTCGAGTTTTTAAGACCAAATTTTTTGGCAAAAAATTGGGGGTCTACCTCTACATGGGTATTAGTTTTGTTAGGTTGAACCCATGCCTGATGGGAAGGGCGAGGAGCAACTTTTAGCTTCAGACATGAAAAATATTTACCATTTACTGCCAGTACACAATGGAAATGTAACATATGTACCAATTAGTAATGAAAAGTTGTGCATTTCCTTCAGCAGATGACGCTCACCAACTTACAATAGGCTAAATTACCTTACAACGTGCTTTCAGTAGTTTATGTTGAAGTTCTTAGCACAGGCTAACTTATCATATCATATACGGTTGAAGACTGGGAGAGTGATCAGTTTCTCCTCCATCCTGTGTGAGTGGTCACTCTGGGGTCACCATTTGTAGGGCTATGAGATATTGGTTCACACTCAGGGTGGGATGGAGAAAGGAAACTCACAATGTGCTCTCTGTATACATACAGTGGTCCCTCGGTTAACGAGCACAATCCATTCTAGAAGGATGCTCGTTAACCGAAAAATTCGTAAACCGAAACCATTGTTTCAATGGGTTTTGGGTAATTGGTTCCAGCTCACCGAAAATTGCCTAAATTCAACAAAAAAGGTAGAAAAGTACACTTACTTTGAGGTGTGTATGTAGAAGGCTCCTGGATGATGATGATGATGATGATGGGAATTAGTATGGGGGGTGGAGGAGAAGAGAAGGCATTGGGGTGGAAGAGAAGTCACCATTTCACCCATAAAATTTTAGTTCTCTTGGTGTAATTCAAGATTATGTTCTTTAAATCAACACTGCACCGCATTATATATTGTCAATATGTAAAATAAATTTCAAAATGACCAATAATTTGCTTGCAAACAGAAAAAAAGCATTTAGTTGAAGAGAGTCTCAAACAAGATGTTACCTCCACTGAAAAGACACAAAGACTGACGCCTGTATGGTGTGTTGGCAGGCTGGATGGCATGTTCAATAATTGTTAAAATTACTAAAAAATTTAATATTAAACTTAAAATTATTGAATAGTATAAACTTTTTGATATTTACTAAAATGGCAAGGAATTTAAACCCTAGAACCGATTACTGTACTGGCGCACTAATACTACAGCTGGTGGACCGCCAAATGCAAGCGAAAACATGTTCAGGTCAGCCCGTAAGAAACTCGTTAATCGAGGGACTGCTCGTTAACCGAAATTAAAAATCTTCTGGAAGGTAACTTGTTAACCGAAATCTCGTTAACCGAGGCGCTCGTTAACCAAGGGACCACTGTATTTTATTGGATGTACAATGCAGCTTGTTGCTGGGTAGGCAGCATGGTTACAAGCGTTGAGTGGAGAGAGCTGGTTGGTGAGGGTGCCCAGAGGAGGGCACGCAGCTTGAGGGACGCCAAGGTCGCCGGCAGGAGCGGGAGCCGCCAGGCTGGAGCGGAGGAGGGGGTGTTGCTTGTTGGTGGCAGTAGGTAGAAGGAGAGTGGTCATGAATGAATGAATAAAAGCTAGTGACAGGGGGGAAAGAGGTTCAGGGGAAGGATAAAGGGAGGATTGAAGTGAATTTTAGAAGGAGAGAATACAGCGGTGTGAGGTCTTATAAGGCGTGGGTTGATAGTTGACCCCCGCGTAGGCTGGGAAATTCGAGAAGGTTCGGCTACTCCGCTTGTAGGGGAGGAATCCACTACACGGTATCACAGTACTCATTGATCTACAAAAAATACCGGTAATAAAAACCTTTTCGATATTTCACACTTAATATAATACCCGGTAATCCACTTCAACCTCCTATTGTTTACAACGATGCATGACGCACCACCAGCTGTTGCTATCAGCTAGAGTCTCTAGACGGTACATGTGTTTTTCCGAATGGTTTTCAGTTAAGAAACTGTTACATCACACGTATATTTTACCATAACTGTGCCTGAATGAATATATTCTCGGAAATAAATAGTAGTTTTGCTGAAACGTGATGTATTTTAATATAAAATAGGATAAAATACATGACGAAAACAAAAATTTTTACCTAACCTTCCGATGTTCAAGAGAAGTTACTCGTTTTTTTTAATAGTTTTCGGTTAAAATACTGTTATATTACAATGATATTTTATTCATACTGTGCTTGATATAATGCATTCACGGAAATGTAATATTTTTTCTGAAATGACGTACGTATTACATTGGAAAGTGGGATAAAATCATGACGAAAACAATGACTTTCGCTTTGTTTCTTGTTCAAAAGATGTTACCATAATCGCTTTTCGAATGGTTTTCAGTTAAAAAAAATGTTGTATTACAATAATATTCTATCCTAATTGACTTGAATAAATACTACGATACCATATTTCTGAATATTTTCATAAAAATCCATCAAAATCATTTTCCTTGTCATCGTTTTCAACAGCTCCTCCCAGTCTTCTCCTTGAACAGGGCTAGACGGTACACGTGTTTTTCGAATCATTTTCAGATAAAAAACTGTTACATCACACGTATATTGTACCTAAACTGCGCCTGAATGAATATATTCTCAGAAATACATAGTAGTTTTGCTGATACGTGATGTATTTCAATGTAAAATAGGATAAAATACATGACGAAAACAAACGATTTTACCTAACCTTCCGATGTTCAAGAGAAGTTACTCGTTTTTTAATAGTTTTCGGTTAAAATACTGTTATATTTCAATGGTATTCTATTCATACTATGCTTGATATAATACATTCACGGAAATGTAATATTTTTGCTGAAATGACGTACGTATTACATTGGAAAGTGGGATAAAATCGTGACGAAAACAATGACTCGCTTTGTTTCTTGTTCAAAAGATGTTACCATAATCGCTTTTCGAATGGTTTTCAGTTAAAAAACTGTTGTACTACAATAATATTCCCTCCTAATTGACTTGAATAAATACTTGAATGGAAATATACAATATTTTTGTTGAAACTACCCGCGTTTCAGTGTAAAGTGTAATAATAAATGGTAAACAATTTGCCTTCGGTACTCGGTGTTTCAGGCACGGCGAGCCTCAGTTTATAGGACGTAGAGTGTTATTACTGAAGGTTTTGTTGTTCCATTACCCTCAAAAACTTGGGTCGACCTCTAAACGAAGAATATCATAAATTAACGATTTCTTGGTCAAAAAATCAGGGTCGACCTATAAACGAGGGAGGATTATAGACGAGTATATACGGGTAAATTCGTTCCCATTTGAGTAAATATGAAGAAGGTTGTACTATTCAATAATTTTCAAAGTTATATATTAATTTTTTTTAGTAATTTTAACACTTATTTAACATAATTGCAATACAGGAAACTAGTTTTTGGTGTGCCAATCAGCCACTTGACTCACCCACCAAGGCGTCAGTTTCTATATCTGGTAAATGGAGGTAACATCTTGCTTGTGGCTCTCT